ATAAAAGATATCTTTTCTTAGTTGGCTCATGATCAATAATGTTGTACTATGTTGATATTTTATCTTTGGAAGTTTTTCATGTCAAAAGTAATGTTCCTCATTTGCAGCAGTGGAAGAATTTGTATATATAATTATACATGTCCGTATATAAACTTCTCCTTTCTAGGCCAATAGTTAGAGATTGACATTTTCTTATTAAACTCTTCTTTTACACTCATTATATCGCCTATTGCTCATTTATGCGTCACTCACACATAAGTAAGCAACTCTATGTATGTAATGCAAACGAATTACTCACACATGCAATTGAATAATTTCTGTATTCAAATGAAGGAGGGTGGTCAAAATGAACGTGGTATACGTAGGCATCTTCAATTTGAGGCTGCAAAAGTGTATAAGTTCACTGTCCTTGGTAACAGTGAGAGTCCTAATAGCCTGACACATGATGCTACCAATTCAAGGTCACCATCTATTCTAACAAACTTGAAGAGTCTAGCTTCCTCTCATTTCGATAACAGAGCCTCAAGCAGTCTGCAGGATGTGAGCTGTGACACCTCACAATTCCCTTCCTCCCCCTATGAGTCATTTACATCAGCCCAAATTGATGTAAACTCTACCACCTCCGCTCCCATCCATTCTGGTATTGGTTTACATCTGAATCACATTTCTAGATCTACATCCTTGAGCTCTGATATCTTTTCAAGCAAGAAATCAACTGGGTATCTGAGTACGCCAGAGCAGATGCTAGAGCATGGCAGCAACAACATAGCAACGAACTCAAGTAGTATCTTGACCTCAGCTGTATCTGGAAAAATTTATGTTTATGTGGCCAGTAGTCAGCAGGAAAGCCAAGCTGTTACTGAAGCTAATTCTTTCACTTTTCATTCTACGGATACTATGAAGCCTCCATGTCATTCTATGCTCGTTGACCAGGAGGCAGCTCCTTGTGAGGTGGGTATGTCTGCTTCACAGGAGACTGATGAGGTTGAGGAGTTAAACCAACTGAGCCCTAAAAGGAAAAGGCAAGTACAACATTATCAGTGTATTAATCTTCATTTTTATTTTTGCATGGCTCACCTAATATGCTGTTTGAAATGCATTTAGGAGGAGAGATGCATACATGAGTGAGGGCTGCAAACGTTGCAACTGTAGGAGGTCTAAGTGCTTGAAACTGTAAGTGAATGCAAGCAAATAGCACCCATTTTTGTTTTGAAACATTGGAATGCATATCATACATTAGGAAAAATGGACTATCAATTCTTCTTCTAGACTTCAGTTTTTGTTAACCATTTCCCTATAGAACCTTGATGCAAAAGCATCTCAGTTGACCTTATAAACAACAAATTTCCCATGGTAACTTGTGGACAAATAAGTACATACAATTCACCATTCATTCTTGCAGTTTGTCTCAGCTTGTTCTTCATCATTGGCAGTTATTGTGAGTGCTTTGCAGCTGGCGTTTATTGTGTGGATTCTTGTGCATGTGTAAACTGCTATAACAAGCCTGAGTTTGAGGACACAGTTCTTGATATACGTCAGCAAATTGAAGCTCGTAATCCACTTGCATTTACTCCAAAAGTTGTCGACAATTCCATTGATTCTTCGCCCAACTTTACGGTAATCCTTGTCAAAGTATATATCTTGTTCTTTTATGTCTCTCATTTGGAAGCATTTTGAGCATAAGAACTCCACAGGAAGAACAGGACTTGACGACCCCATCCTCGGCCAGGCACAAGAGAGGTTGCAATTGCAAGAAGTCAAAGTGTCTGAAAAGATACTGTGAATGCTTCCAGGTTTATATGTACATTTATATCTACTGCTTGTAATATCAGAAAAATGGTGTTCCTCAAAGAATTCTGGTTCCCCCTCCCAAACTGTTTCACACATTATAGAATTTCTAAAATTAACACGATATGGATTTTCATAATTTCAATTAAATGAGTCAGAAAAGCAACAAGTTCATTGGAAAAGATTTGGATTAGGAAGTTGGTTAGTGTTGATATGTCCTCGACTTATCTGGATTTGACATATCTGTTTTTTCTTTTGCTCCTTTCCCAAGGCTAAAGTTGGATGTTCCAGCGCGTGTCGATGTGAGGGTTGCAAAAATACGTTTGGCGTTACTCCAGGTTATGGTTCTCTTTGTTTGTAATGATTCTGTGTTCTTTATTTATTCATTTTTTAATATAAATTTTAATATATTTTCTATGACCACCGTGTTTCAGCACCAAAGAAAATGAAACAACAGAACTTTATACACACACATGTTTATATATACAAAATTTCTCTTATATGGACGTCTGAAGTTTCTTTTGCGGTTTCTTCAGCTTCTCCCTTTTTTATCTGCTAGCAAATCAAATCACTGCACAGCTATCATACAGTTCAGTTGATGAATAGCAATTATACAGCTTGAAATCACTTTTATAATGTTTTACATTTTTGTTTCAACAAATTCATTGACAGGTGCCTGAGAATTCGAAATCCTCAATATATTTTTAAGTTGTCTTTTTGTACTCGTGTGCTTCAACGAGCAGCAGTACACATAGATTATTGTTATTTTAGTCTTTTCTTGAGGCATCGTGTTCATTTATTTTGTTGCTAGCAATTAGATGCCGTAATGATTTTCAAATTTTCTGATTTTTTGCAACGATGATCTATGAATGAAGACTTGAAAAATAGACAATTTGGATTGTTGAAAAAAATTTTGTAGGGTCCTAAAGGGTGTCCCTCAGATAAAATTATTTGAGGGATCCTCAATGAAAAGAAGGGCACGATAATTTAGGAAAGAGAGAGGAGAGAGAATGTAAAATATTAAATGTGAAAGTGTTGTGGTAATCACAATTCATTATTATAATAGATGCAATCTGAACCATTGAATGTGCTAATCTAACACCCTAAAATTTGTGTCCCTCGATACAGACCCTAAATATATATATATATATTTATATATCCTCAAATAAGCTTATTTGAGGGACACCCTTGAATCCTATATCATTTGACCACTCGATTAAATTATTGAAATTTTAGTACTTTCTTGAAGCACCGTGTTCATTGATTTTGTAGGATACAATGAGATCTCAACGGTTTCCGATTTTTCTAATTTTTTTGCAAGGATGATCTTTGAGTGAAGACCTAAAAAATAGATGGTTTGAATCGTTGAAAAAAATTCGTAGGGTATCCTAAAGGGTGTCTCTCAAATAAAATTATTTGAGGGATCCCTCTATATATATATATATATATAGAGAGAGAGAGAGAGAGAGAGAGAGAGAGAGAGAGAGAGAGTCTTAGATATCTTATACTAAGACATGCAGTGCTATTAAATTTTGCTCCTTTCAATCAGTGAGCTTTCAATAGGTTAGTAAGCATGCACGAAAGCATTCACAGAATGGTAAATTTTATGAAACGAATATTTAACATTTCATTAGGATGGTTTCATTTTTGTTCGTTTAATCCTTCACTGATAGGGACTTCTTACTTTTCCATGTTGCTACAATTACAGAACCAGTATATAACAGAGCTAAAAGGTGGGCATCCCACCCTGCTGAGAAGCTGGATAATGTGAAGGGTGCTATTGCTTGCATCAAGGCCCCGGGTATCATTCATTACTCACCGACATGGGAAGGAATTTCTGATATAAGCAAGCTTACACCTTTGTCACATCCTTGCTCACGCACAGCGTTTTCTTCAGCTTCATCAAGTAACTCTGCAAAAATTCCACAAGCCCAGTTGCCATCAAGTCAGCTTCAGCCATCAGGTACTGGCCACTTTCACTGGGGCTGTTCAGCCGTCATTGTTACCCCGGAATTATCTGAAGGCAAGGGTCCCAATGATCTCAATTCTGATGGTGCAGGTGCACATTATGACATACCCTATGATGATACACCTGAGATACTCGAGGAAACTTCTAACCCCACCAAGGTTGTAAAGGCTAGCTCACCAAATCAGAAACGTGTGTCACCTCCACAATCCCGATCCCGGTTAAGAGAAAGATCTCCAACAGGCTTGAGAAGTGGCCGCAAATTCATTTTGCAGGCTATGCCTTCTTTCCCTCCTCTTACACCGCACCGTAATTCCAAAGAAGGCACTAATGAAATTGAGAATGATGATAAATAATCTGCCAACAAGAACATTTGGACAACACACAAGGAGTTGGGCAAGGCATGACTCAGATAGCTTTCACATCTGATTGTAGAAAATCTGCATACAACTGTCTTCTGCAGGACACCATCCATCGATCTGCTTCCAACTTTACAAGCTCAGTGAGAGAATGCTTCTGTATTTCCAGAAGTTTGGTAAGCCTTGTTGCAAAAGGCAGTGCTAATTGTTGGCCTTCATTGTAATACCATTGCAAAAGTTTTGTAATATCAAGTGTAATTGTCATTTAAAGATTTAGTCCTTGGATTATTTTACAGCTTTTTTTTCTTTTTTCTTTTTGGTGTCTCTGTACTGTAATCCTGTAGATATATAAAGTCTATAATCTTTACTGGCGCTTCTTTCACAGGTGTTAGAATTTTGGTTCGGTTCCTCAACCGACGTGCTTTAGTAGATGAAATGGTTGTATTTGAAGTCAAATAACTAACAATCTTAGTTTCCTTTCTTATAATTCCTACCTGAGTTGCAAACTTACAATTACTATGTTGCTGCATCCTTCCTCCACTATTAAGTATGAGCAAGATGTATACTTTCAGTATGAGAGAGAGAGAGAGAGAGAGAGTAGAACTCCACTAATTATTAATAATAAAATCACATAAATGAATGCCAAAATAAAATACATCCAAAACTAAATCACCACTACCTCTACATCCTCCAAGTGGAACATAAAAGCACACCCAAAACTTTATTTGTAGGAAAGACAGAATACGAAAGGGAATTAGAAAGGTCAATTTAGCTATACCATATACTCCATGCCCCATTTTGTATAGCACCTACTTGTACATGGGCGTTTCTCACTCATTATTGTTAGCTACTACTCCCTCACTATCTCCAATTAGACACTGTCAGATTTATGAGCGGTACCCCTCAAGCCCCAGCCTTGCAGATAGCCAACTGGAGACTTCATTCATCTCTTTAGGGATAGTGTAATGACCAAGCCTGCAAAGTCGAACCAAAAATCTGCTTAAATTTCATCCATTACATTTGACCCCGAACAAGAGCAATAAATATATGAAGAGATTGTTCTAGATAATTTTGCTAATAGAAAATTAATCCTTACCCATCAAGGGGTTTGAACGTAAGGTATCGGAATCCTGCTGAATTCAAGGAGTTGACTGATTTCTCTCCATATTTGTAAGGAACTACATCATCATCTACAATGGCACAAAAGGATAAAAGGGTCAAAGAGGTTCCACTAATCCAGCAAAGATTTATAACTTCTTCACATACCGGTTACCATAACATATCATCTTAGAACCACCTAAAATGTACAACAACCCAATGGAGAATAGTTCCGAAAATTATTTCTGCAAATGTGCAAGAATTGTAACGCAAAACGGGGTTTTGGGCATGATTCTTTTTTAACATCTTTCTAAACAAGATTTCAAATTCTATTTTCTCTTTTTTACAAAGGTTTCAAATTCTATCTGGCTAATAATGTTGTTGCACCAGTAGACATCAGTTTCAAGAAGTACAAGTGAACCAGAAAGCTAAGCTGAAGCTCCAAATAAATTATCAACCCTCTATGACTTATCAGTCATTAAAGCCACAAAGATGCTACTATCCATAAAAACTGGATTGAGTCTCACATATTGATTGTTAAAATTCTTCAGTGCAACACACTAGCTTCTGGTGTGTGACATATCAAGTGGTTTAGAAACCTTTCAAATTTTTGCAAATGCAATATTGGCAAAAGGTTATACAGAGACATACTTTTTCCATGACATTGCAAAATGGGTAATGATGCGGCACGCCTTGCAGCCTCATGTGACCCTTCAATTTTGTTCCGTAAGGTCCTGCACAAACCTTTAAACTATCAAACATGGGAGTCTTTGAATATTGATACTCAGTTCAACAGGTACCATAAAAAATAGAGCAGATGCCAGATGGACTGTTCTGGAAATGCATATGTTTAATGTTTACAATTATTAGATAAAAAAGGCCCATCTAGTTTTACTCGTATTTCAGGTGGAACATTATAAGAAAACAGTTGGGCAAAGACATCAAATACTAATCTCTTTCACAGGTTTCAGGAAAAACGTTAACTGCAAGAGTGAGTTGGTTAACGAAGGCTCTATACAAAGTCATACCTTGCTCCTGGAAGCCAACCGCTTAGTCCAACAACTGCCCTCAGATTGAGAGGGTATGGGTTTCCATTTCCATACCTACCTGCAGCATAACAAGTTGCAGAATAAAGGGCCATCGCAGCACCCATACTAAAGCCTCCAATACCGACTTTAACTGCCACAAGAAAATGTGACAGGCTATTCAAATTTCAGCAGTAAAAACAATCAACATAACACATCATTTAATTCTTGCCTCAGAATTTGCTATTCTATAGTATAAGATGCTAAACTTAACTTTGGGAAACATGAAATGGTGTTAGACTTAACCCTGAAAGCTGAAGAGGGAATAGCATAGCATGCAAATGAAAAATAGAAACTTTGATTTCAGATGGTCTGTAAAAAGGCAAAGTGGCGAAGCTTATAATAAATTTAGAATGTGTTTGCAAAAATTTGATGATTGGCTATAAGGTGGAATTCTTGTTGCTTGGGAAATTTTCTTGAAATATTGTGCAGGTTTTAACAAAGATGATTCATAAGAAGTGTAAGAAAAAAAAATCCGAGGAAGTTAATCATTTTGAAGTAGTTTATCCTTGAAAGTACCATCAGCTGGCTCAGTTGACAACAAGTTCGCAATATGTGCTGCTGAAGCATCTAAACTCTCCCAATCATCTGGACCATCGTCTGAAAGCTCTCCCATTTCAAACCCTGATAAAGAATCACATAATTCAGAAGATTATTTTCAACACCAAAGCATTACAAGAGCTTGCCTTATGAGAATATAAACTGTAGAGGTATGACCTTCTACGATCGAATGCACCTAAAGTTTTAATTTAAACATAATCTTACAGGCAGTGCAAGGAAATCCACCGAGTATAGCCACAGGACGGGTAGGAGCAGTTGGGCAGATCCACTTAATCTGTTTCATATTTGTATATTAAAAAGTTAATTTACTCACAGGTTGTACAAAGTGGTGACATGTGCATGTGTGAATGGAAATACAAATCCTCAAGCTTACAAATAATTGGGGACACATATATGCTTACATTTGGAAGAGGAAGAGATTCCAAGAGCTGAGAAGCGCTGTAGCCAGAAGGAGTAGAACATGAGACATATAAGTCTTAGAATATCCATCAGGAAGACAATTCAATTGCTAAAACTAAGACTGAAATTGCAGGTGGAGCCTGTGCAGCTCTTTTGAACTTGACAGATATTATGTCATCTGCTTAACATTTTTTTTACCTAGGTAAACTGGGACCACACTAGTTGGGAAAGCAGCAACACAAGCAAAGAAACCACAAATGTGGTAATACTTGTCCAGAATTGTTTTGAGGATAAAAGGAACAGAACCAGTTTAATACTTAGGAATTTGAAGAAAAATCCATACTTACTATGCATATTTGTTACCAAAGTGCATTTCTAGTTCCCCACTTGGAGAACAAACTAAACTAGTGGTCCCCCAGTCATGACTCTGGCATATACTATTTCCAAATCAAGGCTTCCCAAATTAAGCTTAGCATCAATCAGACAAGAAGTGAAAGGGACAAACAATCATATCATTTAATCTCACGGTGCTGCTGCTCTCTTAATCGAATTTATTCGAATAAGAACCTCACTGAAAAGATGCTCAGTATTGAAAAGATAAAATATGGACCCCTCCTCTCTGAATCAAATTATAGAGCAGGCAGAGGTGTTGACATTCCTGAACACGTTTCTTTTTCTTGTATATGAAACCAAAAGTCCATCCTTCCAGTACAAGACAGTACATGATATAAAAGAGAAGGAATGGGGAATTGCATCAACTGATGATGAGAAGTCAGGGCATAAACAACAAATATAGACAAAATATATCATTGTTGAGTTCTCACAAAACTTTCTTATGATAGAAGTTAACTACTCAGTTATGAACTTAACTATTTAACTATGAAGAATGGTATTCCCACAGCTGAGTATACAAATTATATGCTATTCATATTTCCATCTCTCATGGGCTAAAATATTAGTAGGACTTCAAGAGAAGGTCTTTCAGAGACAGAAGCAACAACAATGTATGAAATAATCACACAAATCACAAAAAAAAAAACCACCCCCCCAACCCAAAAAAAAAAAAAAAAAAAAAAAAAAAAAAAAAAAAAAAAAAAAAAAAAAAATAAAAAAAAATAAAAGAAAAACCATTATCCCCATTATCCCCATGTAGCCCAGACCTATTGTGGCTTGATGCTTTCCTTTGGGCCTCACCACATGTGTCCTACCGAACTCAAGTGTTCTTTTGGCAGTTCTGCTACCTGAATTGTCACAAAAAGTGGCTACTCAGCAACGATACAAGTTTAAGCTGGAACAATTAATCAGGGATTCTGCAAGTTAACCATAATAACTCTTTTTCCCCTCTCTTTTGTCTAAGATGTCAACCGAGAAAATCGCCACTTATTCACTAGTAGCAATCATTAGTAAGAACAAAACACTTTAAAAGTTAAAAAGACAACGAACATCAGACACTAAGTTGCCTAATTGAAGGAAATATAGTAAAAAACTAACCACTCTCACAGCAGTCAGAAAGAGTTCCAGAAACTAATAGCTATAGACTTAAACAAATTGAGACAATGAAAGGTGCTATGCTAGGGAAGAAACAAACCAGAACACATATTGGAATGGGAATAGCTCATCTTTGCGTTTCAGGTAACTGTGCTAAACAGGCCGCCTATTGCAATGAGTTAGAAGAAGGTACTGCAATGTAGAAAACCCAGAATGATAATGTGTATTTATAGGCAAATGGGCAGTGAGAAAATGGAATAAAACATGTGTGAATATGCATCACTATGAATGAGAAGTGTGCATACCAGCTACACACTGCGCCAAAAACCGCCTAGAAAGTTAAAAAGAAAGAAGCATCAATGAAAAGGAGAGGTAATGAAAAGGACAAAAGCAGGATAGCAGAGAGAATCCAAGCCAGAGTAGAGCACATTCATCCCTTCCTTAGAGCTCTTGCAACATAGACAGACAGATAGAGAGAGAAAGAGAGATGGGGAGAAAGAATCTATGCTTGTGGACAGTGGCCAGAAAATAAAGCAAACCCAGCAGCAACAACAAAAACTGAAAAGAATATTACTGAAAACAAGAAAGAATAATCTAAGTTTGTAAAAGAAAATATCTTTTCTCAATCATTAGTTAATGAATTTTTCATGATTGATGGATACCCATTAACCAGAAGGAAAGTTTATAGTGTCCAATTTCTTTTTTGTATTACATTCTAGTGTATAATTTCTCTTTATGATAAACAAGTGGAAAATCTCAACTGTGGAAAAAGAACCAAGAAACTGAAGCAGGGTCCGAGAACTGAGAGAACTGGGTTCCAGCCTCCAGGTTCTCTCTCTCTCTCACTTCTGTTTTCCCTTTTTAAAGCTTAAATTTCTAATTGTATATACATATATTGATACCAAGACATATATAATATACTTTAATAACTTATATTTTCAAAAAGATTTTTTGTGCATAGATCACCAACCTGGATTTGTTATATGGAAGAGAGAGACAACGGCAAAAGTGTGTGAACTTTTTTCTTTCCTTGCATCTCCTTTCTTACTTTCTTGCTCCCCACTACAAAAACCGCCCTACCTTTCGAAAGCTTTGTCTGTTTATATTCGTAGAGACGCCAAAAACCTTAGACCTCTTTACCAGCAAATTTCTATTTACACCCAGTATCTTTTTTTTTCTTTTTTTTGGTTGAACAAAAGTTTAGTAGGAGATTGAATACTCTCACCATTAGCATCAGAGTATACCTACAACCTCAAGCCGAAAGGATTTACGCGTGACACCCAATCGCCAGCTACCACCGGTATGGATTTAAGTAGGAAATTATAGATCGCGCATTAATGAAGATTGCTAGTAGCAAGATTCGAACATTGGTGGGGCTACACACAATGAAGGGACCTTACCAACTGAATCAACTCTCATTGGTATTTACACCCAGCATCTTTATGAGTTCACCTTAGTGTTTTTTTTTTTTAAAAAAAAAAAAAAAAAAAAAAAAAAAAAAAAAAAAATTCTGGTATTCATAATTCAACAAAAAAAAGCCACTACTCACAAAGAGCCATTATAATAACGATCTAACATCAAAATTAAGACAATCTGGTGCGCATCCACTAACGATCACGAAGAATCAAAGAAAATCTTGCAAAGGCATCCCAACTAAGATTGCAAACTCAGAATAATCAAAAAGAGATAAACCTTGAAAAAATTAAGCCATAAAAATACAAATAAAACTCTCGCAAATGAGAGATGAAAAACTCTCACAAAATGAGAGGTAAAAACTACATAAAGAACCCAAAGAGTTTCTATGACTTATTCCAAATATAAAGAAACCACAAACATAAAGAGTCACCTCAGTGTTTAAATTTTTTTTTTTAAATCCAATCTTAGTGTGAATCAAATAATTAGTTTTTTTTTTATAAACAAAATGTATCTCATCACATGTTCCAATAGTGGCGCAACGGGTGGGCGGTGAAGATGCGGTGGGGGCATGGCGGCTCGGTCATGTCGTGTTTTTTGAGAAATGATTAGAATTTTAATTAGAAAGTGAAATGTACTTAGAATATAGGGTGTACTTAGAATACGGAATGAACTCAAATATTGGGTTTACATAAAATAAAAAAACTCTTAACAAATAAACATTTGTAGGAAAATTAGGGTTAGCCATGAAACAGATGTTAAGAAGCAATTACCAAACAAATTTTGAATTGGGGACTTTACCCAATTGAGTATTTGCTAAATCCATTAATAAGTAATTGACAGACAATGCTACACTTATCAACTTTTGTTGTTCTCAACTAATATATGGGTGGCATCATCTTCTTGGGATCTATAACATGTTAGTTCTTTAATGTAATAATGTACACAAAAGATGGAGAAAAATTTGGGGTAGGAAGCATTTTCCCTGAGTCATGACTAAATGGTGATACAAAGATTTTCCTAAAGTTGAGATCATTTCAATGTATTTTGTAATAATTTTTATGCTTACTTTTAATATGGGATACAAAATAGGTTCAATATAGTTGGAATTAAAATATATTTTAGTCCTACTTTAACTTCAAATGCTGTCATCCATTTACACAAGTTTTATTTTATTTTATTTTATTTAAACAACTATTATCCAAATTATTTTGTGGATGTCACTCAAAAAAAGTGGCAGAGGAATAAATACTGTTCTCTGAATGGGATAAATTTTGATAAGAAGCAGCACCAATTATTTACTAAGAGGCTCCATAGCCAATAGATTAGGGTTCAATCAAGGCCCATTGTGCACCACTATGTTTGGCTACACCTATAAGATGCAGCCTTCATGCAACATGGTAGTGTGCAACCAGGTTCCTTCCACTTCGTCTCTTCTTTTTTATCTTTTCTTTACTTGCCATTGTGGAAAATTTTCTGCCAATTTGGCTCTCATCCCCTTTTTAATTATTTTTATTTTCCTTTTATGGTGTAATGGAGATTACAATACACAAGATATACCAACTCTTTTTTTAACTATTATCTTAACTCTGATGATTTCAGATTCATACAATTATGTACTCATGTAGAACCCACTCCATATAAGAGTTGGAGTGAGAGTCGAAATTTACTTGTGCGTATACTATTACTCCATCCATAGATTATAATAATAACTAAAACAATTTAGGTTCTACCTAAACTAATAGTGACATGAAATTATTGATAATTGTATATGTCAGAATCAAATTTACACCCATCAATTTTTTCTAAAATTATTATTGGCAGTCTAAAAATATTATCCTACACTCATCTCTTATAAAGTATAGGTCCGAAATTACACTATTAGGAGTGTATGATGGCTTTTCTAAAGTACCAATAATAGTTTGTTTTTAACTATTGTTATTTATCGATCAATAATTATCGTTTATGAGATTTGAATTCGACAGCTCTTTCAACAAAGTAGAAACTGAGTACTAGTAAACCAAATGATCATTGACAATATTCATCAACTATTCAATTATCAGCGAACGTCTCATATCTCAAAGAGATTGACTAAACATCTTTGGAAATACTACTAACACGACAAATTGTAGTAAATGATGGCATCTAATCTCTTTGAGAAGTCAACATGCATTTGGACATGTTTTCCCTCCTTTATGGAAAAATATACATTATTAGGACCACACCTTTTACATTGTCAACCCCCTCCTTTTCCCACACTCAATAGAAGAGGAATCATTGTGATGAATTAGAAAATGGGTTTATACTTAACTGTGGGATTTGTTTAAAACAGACAACAATATGCTGTTGGCACTACTCTCTTATTGGAGATTAATTAATTCACTTCATTGTAGATTTTTATTAAAGGAGGCAATGGTTTAAGTTGGCACTTTTTTAATTTTGTACAAAGTATCTGAGTAAACTATGTGTATATAAAATTTGGAGGCTGTGTTAATAGGGTCTAGCTCAGTGAAAAAAGACTTTGACTTGTATACCAAAGTTCTCAGGTTCGAACTCACATAACATCATTTGTGTTTGTATATATGTGAAATCCCCCTCCCCTTTAAGTTAAACTATCGCTTGTACTTATTACAAAAATGAAAAAGAAGAATTTGGAGGCTGCAACTTTCGAACTTTTAGAAACCAATGCGGCTCACAACAGGTTACTATGTTTGTTTCTTTCCTTGGCAAAGCTGGAAGGCACATACAAAAGTCTAATCTACAGGGTGACATGAAGGGTTCTTAATGAACTTGAACATATACATGTTATGTATAAAGTGCAAAGCATTAATTATATTGCATATATAGGCAAGAAGCAGGTTCTCCTCTATTGACTAGACATTTAGGAATTGTGAACCATACCATTTCTTTAAAGTAGAGCAACCTATACTCGTTTTTATATGTTTGTTAGGTAAGTTGATAACTATTTGTAGTAGGGACATTTATTCTTTACTTTGTTAGAAGAGATTCTGAGTTATAATCTAATTTGTTTTACGGGCAATGATACTTCTTGTTATTGAGTGGCAGTACAAAACCAAAGAAAAAAAGAGAGGAACAAACGAGAATGCACACCAGCTAGAAGTGGTGATGCTCATCGCCTTTAATTGGCGATGAGCAAATCTATCCTCTTTTTTCTTCCCGTACCATCTAATATACGAGTCTTAACTTTTGTCGCTAGATGAAGAAAGCCCTTGGACTAATTCATTCATTCATATTGGTGAAGTAATGAATATAACAAGAAAAAAGGCTAACAATTAGCTCTTAATTTAGCTTTGTTTGCTTTCGAATATTATAAAATATCCTAAATTCGAATCTTTCATCTCTTCAATTGATATTTAAATTAAGAATAAAAGGCTTGTTAGATATGATGTGCAATAGAGATTGGAAAGGTTTTAATGTAACAAAAATAAAGGTAGGAAGGAGAGAGGTGCTTTACATCCAAAACAATTCAATTCGATCATTATGGCCATGGGGTCATCTTCCAGCCATATTACAATCCAAAAAAATGTTTACTTCTCAAATCAACCCATTGATAGCATCTTTTTATTTTTAATGTATAAATTAAAGTTACTTTTACGTACAAATTGAAATGATGCTGTAAAATTTCCATGATTCACATTTTATTTTTAAGGATTTATTTATTTATTTATTTTATGCTTTTGCCATATAGCACTGTTTTTTAAGTGGATCCCAAAAATAGTAGACCAAGTTGATGAATAAATTATAGCAAATCTTAGATCCCCTTTCGAGGAAGAAAACACACTCAATGATATATAGCTTTCAAAATGAGTTGATTCATAGAATCAACACGATCAGTAATATTCTTCTCATTATTATAGCAATAATGATGAGTGTTATCCAGAAAAGAAATACTAAATCTTCAAACAAACTTGATTATCAAGTGTTTTGGTGGCTGAGCCATCATCAAACACTCATTAAGGGTTTGATTTCTGGATATTGCTTGCCGTCCTTCTTGCGAATCAGTTTGACACATATGAAAAAATAATTCATAAAAAACACACACAAAAAACTTATACACACATATCACACTGTTATTGGCAGGAATGTAGTAACTCCTACTTACATGGTAATTGAAGTATTTTCTTTTGTGAATTATTGGTCTAGTTAGTACTTTTCTTTTCACTATTTGAAGATATCCCAAATTTAAATACCTCGTTTCCAAGTTATCGAAACTAGAGAGTGATCCTAACTACGCCCTTACCAACACTTTGACTTGTGTTACAATTTGGTGGCATGTTATGTTGTTGCTACAATACTCAATTATGTTGTTGATACCTCACCTGCGATTGCATTTTGGACCTTTGCATTTGGCAGCAATGCTTTACCTTGATAGTTACTCATAATTAAGTCAATGTTTGATGTCCTTAATTATGGCTTTTCTTTTTTCTTTTCTTTTTTTACTTCTGACAATTTATAATATACAATACGTGTCCATATATATATATATATATATATAAAAATGTGTGATCGTCACACCGAAAAATTCATTATAATTCAGATCCTCTCAGATGTATAAATAAAAAAATAAAAGCAGTATCTTCAAATCATATATATCGCTGTCAAAAATGAAAGAATGTTGGTTTGCGTACGTCCAAATTTTTTTTGTCATGCATTTGTCACTCCGTTGAGTCATTTTTCTGAGCAGAATAAATGCTAATTTGATTCTTTAATCATTATTGGTAAGATTGTGATGTGAGGCCTTTGAATCAATCCCTTTTTTATTCCCATTCCATCGTTCCTTCATTTCGAAAAGTTTTCTCCTATTTTTGTCTTGTATTAGCATTGTTTAGTAATTATCTTGTACAAAATTATATAGTGTTACAAATGAACTAAAATTATGTAGTGTTAAAGTTTGGTGTTAATGATTCTACACATGTTATAATTTGAGTGGATTCGTAACATCACGTTAACAAGTCACGTTAGTACCGTGCAATGAATATTTATAGAAAAGAAATGGAAACATGGAAGTAAGTAGCCAAGAGAAAACCGACTCATGTATTTTAACCAAAAAGCAATGGATGAATTAGGTAAGCATCATCGCCTTCGGAGCTTTTACAAAGCTTTTGCATTACTCTAGTTAGTCACAGTTTCATGTGTTCATATTAAAAAGGTGGAATAATTCGGTGTTTATTTAAAGGGGTGAGAGAAGAAGAAGGTAAAGAAGATAAAACAAACCTTTCTATTTTGGATTGAAAGTTTCTTCAACAAGGATTTTTTAGAACTAATAAGCAACTATATATATTTTTTGTTATTTGCACCACGATCGTCGGTCCATCTAAGGTTAAAAGCGAAGTTAAACAAACTTTGGTAATACTTCTTTGTGTGTAGAATGCATCAGTTTGAGTAAAATAAATAAAATTGAAAAATTAATGCACTTCAAAAACTTATGCCAATAATAGTAGGCTTTACGCCCTGTTTATGATTGTAGCGGGCTTTGTGTCTTTTTATGTTGTCTGTTTTTGGGTTCACTATATCATGTAATTGGCTTTAGCTTTCTATATTATTGAAACTTGATTCCGACAAAAAAAAACCAAAAACAAAAAAAGGACAGAGCCACCTAAGGATCAGGATAATATCTCTCTTTCTCCTAGGAAAATCATGTTTCCCATTTCCTTCACGCTTCCTCCTCTAGAAGTCTGGCTATGCAACTGATAGGGATATAAATAAAAAAAGAAATATTTAGTCATATACCTATTCTTAGCCCTAATGATATAGATCAACTCTACATCATTTAATTTTTATAAAACAAATTCAAAAAAATAATAGCTAGCCATATTGAATTTAGTTTTGATTATTAAATTACTTTGATACCCTATTGAGTGTTCTGAGTTTTTTTATGAGGTTTTGAGGGTGGGCTGGTTTAAAGAAATCGATGACAGTTTTGTAATTCATAAGAAGTTAGAAACCTCTTTGTTATGTTGAGAATGGACTTTGGGTGTATTTCTGAAATCAATTTCATATAAAGTTTTTTTTTATAATTTAGCTCATATATTGGGTATAATAGTGAATCTCCAAACAAACCGAAAAACCACTTTAGTCTCACTGTTGGCTACTTCAACTTCAGCAAAAACCCAAAAGGAAAAAGGCGATTTGGGTTGAAGCTGGCCGATGGGCTTCATTGTCACACAGCCCAGCTTGTTTTCTGGCTAATCATTTACAAAACCATGTGTTCCCCTGGTTAGCATTTGCACCTGAAATCAAAGCCTCAAATGACTTGCCAGGTTGAGCGAAAGAACCAACAGGCCCAGGCCTCAGCCTCTGGCGCCAATCTAGGTCAATGAGAACAGAAATGCTATAATAATGGGGTTGTGGGTGGAGGAGTTCAATCCCACTATCCAACCAAAAAGAGAAAATATTGGACTTCAACTTTTTTAATGATTGAATAGTTGGATTGAATCCCTCATTGTAGAAGCTCCCGAGCCCATGAGAATGCTCTTTACACATAATTTTCTTCTTGGGGGTTTTTTGGGGGTAAATAAAAATTTTATAACGGAAAAAGGGAAACAAAAACACAAACAAAGAACAGAGGTTGATTTGCCGCTGCATACAGCATTGATTATGGAAGATACGAGGTATGAGCGGTAGTCATACGACCACGATGAACAAGTGGAGAGGTGATGCTTAAGTTGAAATAAAATGCAGAGACGGTTCTACCATTCCCGGGGGAAAAGAATCAACAGGCAGTACCCATCCATTATTTGGCAATGCATAGAAGGACATCCTTACAAGATCCTTAGTGTTCCAAAAGGTACCCACCCTGTGTCTAAATTATCACAGAGAATCTATCTCAGATGTTGCAAAAGCAACAACACCAAAAAAGAAAAAGAAACTAAGGCCAATCAACCAAACAAAAACAAAAGGCTTCCAATTTTGAAAGTTAAGGTTGCAGCGTATACTGGATATTGTCTCTCCACCTCCCCTGAATTTATTCCATGGAATAGTTTCAGGCTGCAAATCAGTGATGGTCATGGTCATCACTGTGGTCTGGAGATCCACCAGGTCCTACCACTTCAAGCTGTTAAGAATCAAATGAAATAGATTAGGTCAATTCTGCACAGCTGAAAGCAAATGGGCACGTACAATGCAAAATGATATAAAGCATTATGATCCAACATTTTAAGATCATATAAATAAATATATCTCAAGTCTGAACTCCAATAGGATATGACTGGAAGCATTTCGTCTGCAACCTGTGTTGCATGAAGGTCATGGACCAAAATACTACTCCAGTTATGCCAACCATGGTAGCTATGAGCCTATGGGCACTGGGCTCGACAACTCTTCTGTATCTAGGGCTACCATCTCCATGACATCAGCTGTACATGGAATTCCAGTCCCCAGACCCATCTTGCACATGCATGTGTCATCATGTAAATCCACATCCCATTGGATCTTAATCCAAATAGACATAAAATTCCATATCTTGATATGGATTCACTTCCATCCAGTCCAGAACAGGGAGCCGTAATAAATCTTCGCATCAAATTAAGCCTCCACTTACCACAAAGTACTGTGTGCAGACTGGACATTCATGCGGCTCGTCTTTAGTCAGCCAAAACCACACAACATCATGCTCATCCTCTGCAATTAAAATACCAACAAAAAGAAGCAAAAACTGATATCAATTTAATTTAGAAGAAATTTCTACACATGAATCAGTGAACAAGCATACATCCACATGCACAAAGAAAAAGAGAAGGAGAAGATAAGAAGTACCCACCGCCTTCACCACCAGGGCATCCAACTATTCTCCTGTCGTAATAGGACTTGATAACTGCAGGTGCTTCCTAAAGCCAAAAATACATACATAAGAATTTCATTTGTTTCTTTTTTCGTTTATAACAAAATTAGGAGCAAGCATACACATGAAATCATTAGGGGCATTGGTAAAAACCAAAAGCAAATTCATCCTTCTCCCTCACTGAAAGTAGGTTAAGAACATCACAATTACCAATCTAAAGATAGGGATGCAATTTGATTTATTTCAGTTTCCATCCACCAAGAACCAAAACCAGATTTTTTATTTTTTATTTTTCAATTTTTCTTCAGACTAGAACAATTCTCATTTTCTCACCGTAGAACTAGACAAATGGCTAAGGAACCAAGCCAGCAAAACCAACATAATAGCAACTGGTGTAACAATTCTCACACTTCATATCACAAATGGAAAAAGTTGCATCAATACCAAAACAAAGGTCAAGATAATAGACAACAGAACCACGCAAAACCAAACAATCAATAGAGCATAAAAGGGTCGCACACACTTTAATCAAATCGCAACCTGTAAAACAGCACATCAAAGCCAAACAATCATTTCTTCTGGTATTCAAAGGTTGTCAGGATTTCGTGCATCCCAAACAAGTTTGAAAAAGCTCATTGCACAATACAACCCAACTTTTTTTTTTGGGATACCCAGAAATCTACCAATCCGCTTCGCAGACACAGCTCTGAAACTGGGGCCTCACGCTGAACCCCACAATCTTCAGGAGACAGGAAACACTAGCACATAGCTACACAGGTATCTTTGAGGGCTTTGAACCTCAGACCACATGGGAGCAAACCATGGGCCTGACCATTCCAACTAAACCCATGTTGGTGTCCTAACTTATCTTATAATTACAACACTCTTCTTTGTATGAAGATATTTTGCAAACAACTACCTACATCCAGATAACAAAATCCTAGAACACTCATTTGCATGGTTCCCCAAACCAGACTAGACCAGCCAGTCCGGTCCAACCTCATCTTGTTCAGATTCAGCTCTAAAACTGGAATTGAAGTAAAATGACTTCTTTCCTTATACTTATTTAAAAAATGCTTTAAACTGTAGATTTTGAACTTTGAACCGAAACTCTATTGGTCCATTTAAGCCACTGCCATGTTTAATGCTCTGTGGTTCCAGTTTTTAACTTTTCAAATTATCTCCTTAATTCAACCCACAGCTATGTACATTGTACATGACAATGTTTTGTTATTTACAAAAGTAAATAAATTAATATGTAGAGACAATTCCAATACAAATCATGAAAATTAACACTAACAAATATGCTTCTCTACTTTTTTTCTAATAAAAGAGTATGCTTAAATTAAAAACACCAAGTATTAAATTAATTTTCATAAAATTAAAGTACCTTCCTTTTCCCAAAGTAGCATCTAGCCTCTCTATCTTGCAGTTTCATGACTTGCTAGTCAGAAAATATGCTAGAATGCTCAATTGGGTGAAATTGTTTAATTAGATTGTGCTACTTTGAAATCCCATGGTATTTTTTGTTCCAGTTTTCAGTACATTGTACATTTGAAGGAAGTGTCAAGCACAACCAATATACAAATAACAACTCTATAAACGTCATAGAACCCAAAAAGAAATTCCTAAATCTTACAGGAATTTCATTGAAAAATAAAAGCTTCCACATGATATATTTCTAGCTAACCCTCAGATTACATAGCAGAAGGCTACACAAATTGAGCAAACAAACAACTTTTGAAACCACTATGCATGAGTAATAAATCAGATCACACTGACCTTTGTGCCAAAAGGACCAACAGGATGGTTGATTTCCAGAACATCCCTTCCCTGAGGAAAAAGAACAAGAAAATGCCCAAAGAAAATAAATGATCACATATTCGTTGCTGAAATGACACTGGAAAGTGAGTATAGATTGTCAATTAGAATTCAACTGAGCTACAATAACCGATAACAAAGTTCCTACCTATCTCATTTTCATTTCCCACATTTTCTCATCAGTCAATCACAGGGTATAATATGTATAAAAAAAATAGAAAAAGCGTTACCTCAAGTTCAGCTTCAAGCTCCTCTCGCTCGTGGCCAGTGGCAATGGGCATTACCTCCTCAACCTTCTTCACACCAGGTTTTGCTAAGACAAAACACAAAAATAGAAATCACGCTTATCGGAAAAAGATCTGAGAGAGGAAATAGCGTTTGCGATGAGAAGGAAGAGAGTACCAGCATCGGAGGTGGTGCTGAAGTAGCAAGGAAGGAGAGGAAGGGGCTTGTGGAGGAGACAGCGGGCAGGTACCGTGGCCGATCGGCATGGAGCCGAGGCGCTGTTGGCGGCTAGGGTTAGGGCCTTGAGCTGAGATGAAGAGAGCAGTCGCCGCCACATGGTTTGATATTCTCTTTCCTTTTTCTGAGCTGAGTGTGTTCTGATGTCAGACCGCCCCTTCGTTGTTGGAGATGAAGAGATGAGATCTCTTGATCTCTTCTTTTTTTTTCTGTCTGTTTCTCGAGGAAATGGAAATGGGAAATTAGTTTAGGGATGGGAAAATGGTGGGAGGCTGTGTGGGATTTTGGGTTGGGGAGTCAAAGAGGGCTCGGGTTTGTCTCTGGAGGAGAGGGTGGCGATGATGGGGCCAATGCGGGTAGGGATTTCACCTCGCACTTGGCAGGTGGGTACGCACGTGCTGAAATTTGCCAATTTTAGATGGCAATTACCTTCTTTTCTTTTTCTTTTTACTTTGTATTTGGACCATTGTTTAGGTCTCCTAATAATAATTGCTCATTTCAAATCCCACTAATATGCAGTTAGAGCACGTGCTCGTGGGTGATTGTCATATGTTAATGCAATGCGTTTCATGGAATATAACGATACGTGCTCATAAATGGTTGTTAAATATTGATGCAATGCATTTCATAAAATATAATAATACATGAACGATTGAAATTGACTGTCGTATCACGCATTGATTACCAATGACATTGACTATAGTTGTAATGAAGTGGTGGTATATTTATAAACAAAAAGCTGGATTAAATCAACCGGTTAATAAAACGACCAGTTTAAGGAATTTTATATGGTTTGATCTCTGGTCCTTTTTCGGCTGAAAACACAATAATGAGAAAATTTGTAGTCACATATCAACTTCCTGATTGTGGATCACAAAATGGGATGCCATTTTCAACAAGAGAAAATGAGAATTAAATCATTGAAGTTAGAGCATCCAGAATGGAAAAATGGGGTATGGTAAGGATAGATCAAAGCGTTTGATCCCGTAACGTACCAAAAGAAAAACACGAAAGTTCAATCTGCATCAAACTATTTGGCAAAAAGACAAAAGTCCTGAGCATCAAACTAATTTCAAGGAGAGAATATGTTTCAGCTGCATTTTGAGTTTGCAATATCAGAAAAATATTCAGTCAATAATTAATGGAGCACAAGCAGCTATGTACAATATATGTCTAAAATAACAACAGAGTTGATGATAGAGCAAGGCTGCAATGCGGCAATGCAGAATTACAAAGCATAGGCCACATGATGCTGCTGGGGTCATTGAAAGAGACACCAAGTTTTAAAAGTTAGAAGGCTAGCACCAAATAATCATTAATCATGCTTGATTAACCATGACCCTGGCTGTCAGCAACTACATTCAGTTGATGTTCCTACAATTAGATGGCTCTACTTGTGCGACTCATTGTGCCATCGACTCACCGCCGTCCATCGGTCCCAGAACTGCCAAGCAAAACAGAAGAGCTTTGGAGTTAGCCATCAGCCAATTAGCTTTCTTTGCCGTTTATTTTCGACCTCTGGCTTTTGGTCTTCCTCCAGTTTCCTCCTCAAGTTTCTTAGATCTTCCGCGCTCACCATGCCACTCATCTTCTGGTTCAATGCATATGCTTCAGCCATTCTCCTCCTGCAATCCTTGCTTGCAGAATCGTGGGCAACCACTGAAATGGAATAGGTGGAAAGTAAGTAAACAAAGTATTACAATGGCATAATTAATCCAGTCAACTAGAGACTCTGTTTCTAAACTGATTCAAACTTCAGAGCTCAGCACTGTCTTTCACTTATTAGGCCTCTAATATCACTCCACAACCATAAGAATAAAATCTCAGCAAGAGTTGCAGCATGACATTGCATCATTGGTCGGTTCCCAAGCCCAAAATTTCACCTTTCATCCCCCAAACATCGCAGAATACTACTCACTCCACATTCGTTCCCAGAAAGGAAAAAATACAGGACTAATTGAACTGCAGTAGAGCATTGTACACATACGCATATACAGAAATGCACAAAAGCATGTACAGACACATTACTCTGCATAACAGAGTAAGACAGACATGTTCCGGGAGTCCATAGTTCAGACATAACCTGTCATATTGACCTCTAGTTTAAGCACTGATCATAACGCATAACAGAAGATTAACTAATACAGACAGAACTGACCTGGCTTTGGATAATCTCTTCCAATTATGCACTTTGCCTTGTTTTGAATGCTTAGAGGAGCCGTCCATGGCTCATAAATGTACTCCTTTGGCATATCTGCTAAACCAAATTTGGTTATACATTTCATGCAAGAGAGTGAACCCAGCACAAAGAATATGATAGAAATGAAGGGAACATAAGCCTACCTTTAAGTACGGGGAGAAAATGTCTAATGTAATCACCATTTGGGTCGTACTTCTTTCCAAATGAGATTGGGGAGTAGATACGGTTATACTGGTTAGAATGGAAATCATTCAAATATAAAAATCTTCATCAAGGGGTCACTTAACGTCAATGCAAAAGCATAAATATTCAGATTCGAATATCATGAATCTGAGCACCCAGATCACACAAAGAAACCTACTTCATTAGCTGTAAGAAAGACCAAATTGTAAACCATAATTTATGCCCTTATAAACATTTATATATAAATTAAACCAAAAAATCATTCACATTTAATGTTAAGAAGAAAGCTAGCCATAAGAATCCCAACTCATTTATCCAAATAAACAAAAATCATCATGATTAGCATATTGTTATAGATCCATGTTGAAGTCAACAGGGATTGCCAATCATATATCAATCAAGTGCCAAATTGGAAGAACCCATTTGTGGCTTTGAGGCTGAGATGCCACTGATATGCAAATCTATGAGAACTAACAAATGACTAGTGGTAGAAGCTTCAGACCTGGTAGAAAAATGATGAGCACGATAGCCATAGCCAGTTTCCATTATTAATTGCCCAATCTGAATCAATCAGAAGCCTCTCAAAAACATCACGCCCTTTTTCCCAGTGAACAAACTATCAGCAGAAATAATTAGCTTTAGGAAAGAACAATATTAGGAAACTGAAAAAAAAAGTTGCTGGTACGGAAGAGTAGCGAAATCCTTACCAGATCACCACGAGTTAAAAAACATGCAACACAGTGTCGTGCAAGATGGTGCATCCAACCCCACATGCGGAGCTACAACAGATACCATGTATGGGCTTCAAATAGAATGCTAAAGTGAATATGATATTGAATATAAAGTGCCTGGCTTGATTGGAACAGCATGAAATTAAAATAACCATATCCAAGTAGTAGAAGGATGATATCATGCCACAGAACTAACCTGGGTCATGATGGCATCAATCCAAGGGAATCCTGTTCTAGCCTCCCTCCAAGCCACCAGCAGTTCATCATCATCATTCCAAGGTATCTACACGAATTTTCAGTCAACAAAGGTTTATTACATATATGGTAGCTAACAGATGCGCCATCTACGTCAGTTTCATAAAGATCAAGTTTATCTTTTTTTTATATTAATTCTCACGATATGTGATAAACTTTACTGCTGAAAACTGCAGTTATTTTAACTACTAACAAGAAATATTAAAGATTTGTCGCTGACACACATGCAAAAAAAATAAACTACAGTGCTTCTGATAGATACCCTATCTTCTAGATTTGGCATTCTCTCTCATGCACCTTCATGTATAAATATCAGTTGCTAAAGACAGTATCCTAATATACGGTAAAAACAATTTCTCAACAATATAGAAAAGGATAAGTGAATTTATAGAAGCTAATAGAATTCCAACTTACGCCATGAGTTTACCTGCTTGCATATTTTGTTTCCCCTCATCCGATCAAAACTAGGAGTGCCAAATGCTACCGTGTAGAAAAAGTCTCGCCATAACAACTAAACAGGTTGAGACAATCTTTCAAATTGCTACATCTAGAATGAAGAATTCTCCAATATACAATATAACTGGTTTAGGCTGACTGACCTGTCCAGCAAGAGATACCGGAGGTACTGTATGCGTTTTGACATTTTTATATAAATCTTTAAGGCATATGTAGAAGTATCTGGAAGAGAGACAACCAAACTACCAAAGAGACCAAAAAAATGGTGAACACAATGAAACAAGCAGACAAAAAATACAGCCAAAATTTCTTTTAATTAAACCCACTTTCAAATAAGGTGATAAAACAGTTGTCGCTGGCTTCAGAAACACAGATGGATCACCCTTAGGTTTTTCGAATTTGGCCACCCACTCCTACAACACCAATGAAAGAACTGTAAGACTTAAACACCAACATTGCATGCTAATGAGTTGAAACTGAGGCACAGACCAATGTAATTTACAACAAAATCCACATGAGTAATAGGCAGCCATGAACCAGGTAAAATTATCAAGATCAAAGGGGAGAATGTTGGTTCATGATAGCAAGAGGCAGCAATATCACAGGTGTAGAGCCTAATAAAACTTCAATACATAATTCTGCCTTGCACCTTGTTTTCAATTGATTCTCTTAACCTCTTCAAGGCTTCTGTTTCACCACCTCTAAAAGGAGACAATTCATCCTGCATAAAAGTGTTTTGTTATAAATAAATAAAAAGAGTACTAACAACAAGGAACAATGCAGAAAACGTTCCTCCAAACCTGTTGAGTCTCTTCATAGCCAAGTTCTTCGACCATTGGAACTTCTGAAATATTGCAATTTCCAGTATTCCCAACCGGAGGAAGTGAAGAAAGTGTAATAGAAAGTGGGGACGATGCCCATGAGGGCTCTCCAGCAAGCTTCAGAAATGATTGATAACTCAAAGGTGGCTTTCCCCCATTCTTTTTTGACATCCAGTAACATAAACAATAATCAGTAGTAGAGAACAGGGGAAAACAAAACTCAAATCCATCACACAAGCATGTAACAAATATCTCAACCATAAAACAATAACAAACTACTTCATAAACTTACCTTCCGTATAATATCTGCGGGATTGAAGAGTGTGTGACTTACAGGACTGTAAATCTCAATGCCAGCCGTAGAGGCATAGCTCTGTCAAAACAAACAAAACAAAACCTCTTCCTTTTAGCACATCTTTAGTTAACAGCACCTTAAAGTAACCCATTAAGATTTTAGCACGATAATTATATGCTCAAATTAAGTAAGTTCACCATTTTTGTTAAAGGTTCAAGCTTTTCAAACCTAACTTTACATGGGCATCAAAAAATCATTACCAATTACAAGAATCTAAAGCTGCATACCTTGACTTTAACATCTAAAGCTTGATAATATGGTTCTGTATCATACTCAAAGCAGAGCTTTTTCACATCCCACTGCTCCAAACCAAAACCCCAAAATTAAAAAGCTGAAAAATGTAACGAATTATGAGACTACAAGAAAAGAGAGGGAGAGTTAATTTACCTCCTTCAGGCAACGAATGAGTACCTCGCTGGGCTCGCCTTTGAGCACCAACAATCTGGACCCGAGCCTCTTGAGGTTCAAATCCAAATCCCTAAGGCTCTCGAGCAGAAACTGAATCCGGTTCAAACCGGCTTTGGATGACCCGGGTGAGAATGCTTCCGGGTCGGGCTTCATGTAATGCGGGTCAACCACGAAGACCGGGTAGAGAAAATTGGAGCCTTTGGAGGCGTACTCGAGAGCAGGGTTGTCGTGGATCCTCAGGCCCTTCCGGAACCACATGAGAGAACCCGAACCCGATGACATTGTTGGGTTTGGATACTGAGACACGAGAGAGAGAGAGAGACCAGAGAGAGGGTTTAAACCGTCTGTATGGTTCGCGCGCTTTAATGGTTGATTGGAAGGAAGCGAGGGGTGTCTGGCTAACATGCCCGGTGAGTGTAGGTTAAGGAAGAAATGTGGGCATTTGATAAGCTAATCTACGATTTGCGCATGATGCGTATTTTAGAAGGATGTTCTTCACAACATATTATAACGGTCAACAAGGCGCCACGTAGGTCTTGTTAAAAAGCGAGACTGGTCCACAGGGTGCCACGTTGTTCATTCTTTTAGTAATTTCAACTCGAATAATTTTATGAAACAATAAATAATAAAAGAGTAATGCTATTTAGGCACACAAGATTGACCATATTTGCTGACCACTTTATGTGACTGCTAAGAGCATCTCCAAGGGAGATGTCAAATACCAAACATCAAATTTAAATTTGATGGCTGATGTGGCAATTTAACATCTTACATAGTTTTACACTCCATTTGATATGTCAAATTAAATTATTACTTTATTACATTTTAGTGTTGATTCATTTTTAATTAATAAGAAAAGAAAAGAAAAAATAATAAAATATTCATTTGACATCTTGCTTTTGGGATGTCAAAAATAACATCTCAACCTCCAGTCTTCATTCTACATCAGCTTTGACATATCGGTTGGAGTGATGTGAGATGTTATTTTTAGCTGTTAAATGTCTATGTGGCACGTTTGACACATCGGTTGGAGATGCTCTAATGTGGTCATGTCAATTAATGAATATTGTCACGTAGTTTTTTTTTCTTCTTTTTTTAATAAGTACTAAAATAGAAATTAAAAGTGAAATTAAAAATTAAAAAACCCTAAGCGTCCTTGGACTCTTCATCTCCAACGCTCCCATTTTTCCTCCATCAAATCTACCCATCCTCATCCTCCATTGTTGCTGAGATTTGGAGTTTTCTCAATAAAAACGAAATAAAAAAAACCCTAACGTCTGTAGCCTCACGTCGTTCTCTACTCTGTCTCTCTTATGCCCTTCCTTCCTCCTCCAAATATATCCATCCTCATCCTCCATTGTTGTTGTGAGAGTTGGAGTTTTTTAATAAAAAAGAAATTAGCGTCCCTAGGCTACTGCCAGTAAGAACAATTTGGGTGGGTTGAAGAATGGAGAGGTTTACTTGTCAATTAATCTCCAAAAGCCTGTTTCACAAAGGGGTTGAAGGTTGAGGTACACACTCAATTTTTAGTGTAGTTAATTCCTTTCACAATGGAACAATAATGGAGGATGGGAATGGGTCGATTTGATGGAAGAAGGGAGTGCAGGAGAAGAAACGTAGAGACACATGGTTTTTTAATTTCTTTTTTATTGAGAAAACTCCAAATCTCAGCAACAATGGAGGAAAGGGATAGGTAGATTTGATGGAGGAAGAAGGGAGCAATGGAGACAAGTCCAAGGACATTTTTTTTTAATTTTTTTTAATTTCACTTTTATTTTTTAATTTTAATAATTATTAAAAAGATTAAATAAATAAAAATAAAATTTACATAGCAATATTCATTAATTGACATGGCATGACCACATTAGATGCCACATAAGGTGGTCAGCAAATGTGGTCAATTTTGTGTGTCTAAATAGAATTACTCTTAATAAAAATTAATATTTCGGGGAGTCAAAAACCCGTTAATTTGAAGAGACATTTTAAATTATTTAATTTATTTAGATCTTAAATTTTAATGAACTTTTTTTCGTTTTCAGCAATTCATGAAAGAATAAATCAAGGGAAAATCTATGAATATACCAGCTATAAGAAAATAACTCATGCTAGTCAATATAGTCTGTGATACCAACTTCTCTCACCTCAACCCAAAGTTTAATGTAAACTCGAATTAAGACGTTTAATTATAGGATCTAAAATTCATAACTAAAATGTGAAGAACATTAAAATAATTAAGTAAATATTTCATATAGAACTTTATCGTATGAATTGGCTTCAATATCCAATTGATATTGATTTTTAATATTGTTTACTTGCAAACGATGTCTTACTACCATTTGATTATGAAGGAAATGCTGCCAGAAACTAGGTCTAGTGTGCTCCAAGTAAAGTGGACGTCTATCTATAGTGTGATCAAAGTTGATCACTAACTCTTTAAACTTAACCATTAAATTTTGCATGCATGCAGGAGATGTGAGATGGCAAACAAGATAAAGGCTAGCAAAATAAGATTTTATCTTAATGGAACCAAGCTTCTATCCCATCGTTGGTTTGATAGTAGTGGCTAAGATCAAAACAAATTTATAACACCAAACTAATCCTTTACTTGGAGGAGTTATCTACGTTACTTGTTCAAAAAATGTGGGAACGGACTTGCTAAATATTAAGCTACTACAAAGTATATTATTATTATACACAGAAACATTTAAATATGATTAAAATATGTGAAAGGCTAATGTAAAATTTGTAAAATATGATACTTATTATCATGAACTGTTAATAAAATATGTAATTTCCAAATATTTGCCGTGCAAGTGTTAGTCGACTAGTGACTAAGTGGTTGTGTGTTGTTAATACAAGTAGGTCTCACAATGTATTAACAGTTCACAATCACTTAATAATAATTTTATATAATGCATTAACCACTCATAGTCAATCACTCGTGAGCAATGCAAGTGTTAATCGATGCGTGTTGCAAATGAATATCGCAATACATTAATAGCTCATAGTTATTCTCCGGCAAATAGAGAAATGATATTGTCGTATAGGTCTCCAAATTTTGACGTATAACTAATGTCATATTAGTTTAAGAGAATGGTAGTTTGTGTTGGCGTGACTTGTGGATATTGACTTACTTTCCTTACACACCAAGAATTCCTATTATAATTATAATTGATTTACTTTAATTCTTGATTTCCTATTGTAAATAGATTTAGGAATTTATTATTTACTTGCCCATTCAGGTTTCGTTGTATTATAAATATGACCTCCTACAAGGAGAAGAATACACAGAAAATTCCCACAAACAAATATTCTCTCATAGTTTTCATATTTTAGCATGGTATCAGAGCGGCGATCTTGGAATTGCTGACTCTAGTTTCACACCCCCGCCACCGCTATGGGGGTTGGTGATTTTTTCATCCCTCATGGAGGTAGCACCACCGACTCCTTCTCTCATTCTCAACCAACCATAGCCGAGTTGAGTGCCCAGATGACTCAGCTCCTACAGATGCAGACCTTGGCCCCGAATCTAATCCTGAATCAGGATCCTCTTTTGACGACCCCGACCCCGACCCTGACCCCGACTATGACGACGACGATGACCTCGACTCTGACTCCGACTCCGACAACGACCTCGACCCCCACTCCGATGATGACTCCAACCCCGACCCCGAATTTGTCTTTGATTCAGACCCCGATCCCGACTTCGACTCCGACTCCGACTCCGACTCAGGCTCAGATCCCGATCCGAATTCCTACTAAACCTGTATCCTATACATCTTCCGCTGCACAGATTATGACTTCTCGACTAACGACCCCGACACATGGACCAGATTGCGAATATTGTGGTGATCCAAGACACACTCGTGAGACTTGTTTTAAATTGCATGGCTATCCCGATTGGTGGGCTACTCTTAAAGATCGAGGACAACGCAATACGACCAGTAATGGTACTGGTTATGGATTCCATACTTCCGCTAAGATTGATTCAAGGAGTTGGATAATTGATTCCGGTGCAACTGATCATATGACGTTTGATCCTGATGATTTTCTGAATACTACACAACCTCGACGAACCTGTATTGCAAATGCCAATGGTGTTACTTATCCTGTGACAGGGGCTGGCACTGTTGCACTCTCATCCTCTCTCACACTGTCTAATACTTTACTTGTTCCATCTTTATCCACTAAATTGTTGTCCGTTAGTCAGCTTACTGAACAATTGAATTGTTGTGTACTCATTTACCCGAGTTTTTGTTTGCTTCAGGATATTCACACTAAGGAGATTCTTGGTCGTGGTACTAAGAGAGGGGGGCTATATTATGTTGATGACTTCAGTCCTGGCATGGCTAACAGTGTGACGCATCCCTTTGATAGCAAACAAAAGCAAATCTGGTTGTGGCACCGTCGATTGGGACATCCGTCTTTTAGTTATATGAAGCATCTTATACCAGATTTATTCTCAGGTTTCAAGGACTCCGACTTCACATGTGACACTTGTATTTTGGCCAAGAGTCACCGTGTGCCCTACCCGTTGAGTACGAACAAGTGTACTACTCCATTTACGTTAATTCACTCTGATGTCTGGGGACCTTCACCTATCACTGCTCCTTCTGGTGTTCGATGGTTTGTCACGTTCATAGATGATTGTACACGGATGACATGGTTTTATTTGCTAAAGAATAAAAACGAAGTGTTTTCCCGGTTTCAGTCCTTCCACAAACAGATGAAAACTCAGTTTAATGCTCAAATCCAGATTCTTCGCTCCGACAATGGTGGAGAATTTGTCAATCATGACTTTCAGACTTACTTCCAACAACATGGATTTATCCATGAGACGACTTGTCCTCAGACACCGCAACAAAATGGTGTTGCTGAACGAAAGAATCGACATCTTCTTGAAACCGCTCGAGCACTTTTGATTGGCGCTCATGTTCCTCGCCATCACTGGGATGATGCTATTGTCACTGCAGTTCACCTAATCAACCGCATGCCTTCTGGTGTATTGAACTTTAAAACTCCCTTACAGGTGCTTGCGCAACACAAACCTCTGCCCTCTGTTTTGGTACTCACACCCCGAATATTTGGATGTGTGGCTTTCGTTCATCTCCACAAAAATCAACGTAGCAAACTTGATCCCTGTGCGCTTCGTTGTGTTTTTGTGGGTTATGCCACTCATCAGAAAGGCTACCGTTGTTATCACCCTCCTACCCGACGTACCTATGTCACTTTGGATGTGACCTTTCTGGAATCTGAGCTGTTCTTCCATGACCCATCATCCAATTCTACGCTTCAGGGGGAGATACGAAGTGAAGAGCAGAATTGGAGCAACTTGGAAAACGAAGAAATTCTCCTATGTACAAAAATGATTGATCATCCTGAGTCTGGAGCACAAGATTACTCTATGCCGAAAAGCGACCAATCGCCCATTCATAGCGATCAATTACCTGACCCACCTGATCCATACGAAGATATTTCTGATCCGAGTCTCACACCTACAGACAATACAGAACAACAAGATGAAGACCCCCCCTCTAACTCAACAGTACCAACAGACCAATCTCCTGAGAATATCCTTGAGGTAACTACTCCTACTAGACTTGTGCATTTAGAGGATAAAACTATTGGATATCAATTACCTTTCAGGCAAAATCGTGGGAAGCCACCAAACCGCTATTCACCTGATATTGGCAAAACATCCAAGTATCCAATTGCAAATCATGTATCCACTGAGAAGCTGTCTGAACCACTCAAGGCTTTTGTGCATCAGTTGTCTGCTATCCATATTCCAACCAAGGTCTCTGAAGCATTGAAAGATCCTAAGTGGGTCCAAGCTATAAAAGAGGAGATGAAAGCTCTTGAGAAAAATCAGACTTGGACATTGGAGACTATACCACGAGGAAAAAAGACTATCGGATGTAGATGGGTGTTTACTATAAAACACAATGCAGATGGATCTATCGAGCGATACAAGGCAAGACTTGTGGCAAAAGGGTACACACAGACCTATGGTATAGACTATGAAGAAACCTTTGCTCCAGTTGCAAAGTTAAACACCGTCAGAGTCTTATTGTCCCTTGCAGCTAATTTGGATTGGCCACTACACCAGTTTGATGTAAAGAATGCTTTTCTACATGGCGAACTCACGGAGGAGGTGTACATGGACATTCCTCCTGGTTATAATACTACTCAGACTGGAACAGTTTGCAGGTTACGAAAAGCATTGTATGGGTTGAAACAGTCACCACGTGCATGGTTTGGACGGTTCACCATGGCAATGAAGAACAATGGTTTCAAACAGTGCAACTCCGATCATACTCTGTTCTTGAAACATCGGAAAGGGAAGGTAACAGCATTAATAATTTATGTTGATGATATGATTATTACTGGGAATGATAAACAGGAAATATCACAGCTACAAGACTATCTGGCTACAGAGTTTGAAATGAAGGATCTAGGTGGACTCAAGTATTTCTTGGGAATTGAGGTGGCTCGATCGCAACAAGGCATATTTCTCTCTCAAAGGAAATATGTCTTGGACTTGTTGACAGACACAGGAATGCTAGATTGCAAACCTGCGGACACTCCTATTGTTCAGAATCATCATCTTGGAGAATATCCGGATCAAGTTCCAACTAACAAAGAAAGATACCAAAGGTTAGTGGGAAGATTGATCTATTTGTCACATACTCGACCAGACATTGCTTATGCAGTGAGCGTTGTCAGTCAATTTATGCACTCTCCAAGTGAAGACCACATGAATGCAGTTCTTCGGATACTTAGATATTTGAAGTCTGCACCTGGAAAAGGACTTATGTTCTCAAAGCATGGTCATCTAAATATTGATGGTTATTCAGATGCAGATTGGGCAGGTAATGTAACAGATAGAAAATCCACATCGGGTTACTTCACATTCGTGGGAGGTAATTTGGTGACATGGAGGAGCAAGAAACAGAATGTAGTAGCTTTATCCAGTGCAGAAGCCGAGTTCAGAGGCATGACTAAAGGGATTTGTGAACTTCTTTGGTTAAGAAAGTTGCTTACTGAACTTGGGTATAAACCTACATCTACAATGAATCTCTTTTGTGACAACAAGGCTGCTATAGCCATTGCACAGAATCCGGTTCAGCATGATCGTACTAAACATGTTGAGGTGGATCGACACTTCATCAAACAGAAGCTTGAGGCTAAAGTGTTTCAGTTTCCTTTTGTGAAATCCGAGGATCAATTGGCGGATATTTTGACAAAGGCGATTTCCAGTAAAGCATTCCACAATTCACTGGATCAGTTGGGCATTGGCGACATCTATGCACCAACGTGAGGGGGAGTGTTGGCTTGACTTGTGGATATTGACTTACTTTCCTTACACACCAAGAATTCCTATTATAATTATAATTGATTTACTTTAATTCTTGATTTCCTATTGTAAATAGATTTAGGAATTTATTATTTACTTGCCCATTCAGGTTTCGTTGTATTATAAATATGACCTCCTACAAGGAGAAGAATACACAGAAAATTCCCACAAACAAATATTCTCTCATAGTTTTCATATTTTAGCAGTTTGAACATATTTAAATGGTTAAGAGTATATTGCATGTTCAGATTAATGAGTTTGAGGGTTAGATCATAACATGGACTAATATCACATTAGTAAAAAAAAAAAAAAAAAAAAAAAAAAAAAAAACAAGTTTGCTAGTTAGAGACCTCGATCGTTTCATTTGATAAAAAGGATGGGTACATACATATATAGATAAAAACTCATATAATCAAACTCGTATTAAACATCTACCTCCGCTATTACAAGAAAGTAATAAAAAAAAACCATAAAACCCCCTGTATAACATAAGCATATATAATTTAATCAGCTAACAAACCAAAAGCAACCACATAAATTCCCCTATCAGGCATTACATCAAACACTTCGTCTGCGAACGCTGAGCAACTTCACGTCATCGATCACCGGACCACACATAGACCCAGAGTGGTCAGCTGACATGGTGTAAAAGGAGCTGAGGAACATGACCCTGGTGTGCGTCTCCACGGCAGTGAACAAGAGCCTCGCGCGCTTGAACCCACCTTTGCCTATGGACTCGTACGGGACCTTGAGAGTGTCTTTGCCGGCAAACGCCTCCACGACCAGCGACCCTTCGCAGGCGTTTTTGGAGTCTCCGACGGAGAATGTGAGAGCGTAGAGGCGGCCGGGCTTGGTGAAGACGACTTGGGCTAATGCGCTTTCTTTGCCGGCGACGAGCTCTATCGCTCTTTGGCCCTCCGGGACGGCGAAGTGAGTTGAGTCAATGTACTTGACGGCCTTGAGCGATTCGATTATCCAGCCTGGTAGTGGGCTGTGGTCGTCTTCTATGTGGGGTGGGATTAGGACCCCCCACGATGTATTGGGGAACACATAGGGCCCTTCTTCAAAGTCGCCATTTTTCAACAAGTTGGCTGCGAAAGGAAAAATAAACAAAGTGGGTCATAATAAATCAAAAGAAATATGAGAAATATGTGACTATATTTTCTTACCTCTAGTGCGTTTAGGAGGAGCCAAGACCTTCAAAGCAACAGAATCAATAAGAGGGCCACAAGCTGCATCATCCTCCGCACCTGGGTTATGGATCCTAAACTCAAGCTCATCAGAGTCTGCATTAAAACCCCATGCATAAGAATCCCATCCATTGCTGCTGTACATGGTCTGGATCGGGAAGATCCCCCAGTCATTCTTCTCAAGGTTGGGGTTGATTGAGACGTTCAATGTCTCCTCCTGTCCACACGTTCGAGCTGCACTGAATGTGACAGAGTAAAACCTGCCTTTTGTGACCTTGATCTTCTGCTTGATCGAGGCCTCTTTGCCGAGCCTCACTGCAAAGCCACCCTCAGGCACAACCAGCAACATGTCACCTTGTTTTTGCCCTGATTTTATGTACTCAACGTAGCCTGAGACTTCCCAGTTGGGAATGGCATTAGGCTGGGTCACTAATGTGCCCTTGAGGTCTGATTTCTTTGGGCCGTACTCGAAGTTGCCGTTCGGTAATAAGCCTGAAATAAATAGGGTAACTGTTCATATGTATGCATTCCTTTAAAAAGTTAATTGATGTCATGCACCTCAGCTCCTATATTCGAATTTTTCCGTCTCTAATATCGATGGTATTATAAAATTAAAATAAATTAATTGATGCCACGTGATCATCATGTGTTGTGTTGACCGACCATGTGATGTGATGACTAAAGAGAGACATGGGTTATGGGCTAGCTACATGTACCAATTAATAGATGCGAGGCAAGGGACTTATGTATATCATAATTCAGCCAGATCCATAACATGGCTTACACAATCCCCGTCTAGCTTGAGTTAGGTGACAAAATTCGACATGTTACTGGGTTTTTGGACTTTTTGACACTGCCAATAATATACCATCACAAATATATAATTATTGGCATTTAGCCAGCTCATTTTAGCTTGCTTTCTACTAGTTTCTATACCCAATCAAATAAAATAAGTTGTGATATGATATGGTCATTGGGCATTGGGCAATGTGCAATACCATCACCTATTTGGCCAACACTAAAAAAAATAATCTAAAACTATATTTGTTAGTTACATAGTTGGTTTTATTTAAAATACGGCGTGTATGAAACTTATTGCACCTTAAATTAGTATTTTATTATTTCAAAATACTCACTTGAGGATATATATAAAAGTAAAATCTATATATAATAGGTTGGCCCAAAATAAATTCCAACTCTAAGAGATTAGTAAATGTATTCATATTCAAGTGAAGCTCCTATGATAGAAAGTGATAGACAATAATATATATGGCACATGTAGCAGCACCGCTATAAAAGATTTGGTTGTCACATGGTGATGAGCTTAATGATAAATAATTTATCAAATTAAGGTGGTCCACATATTTGGGTGTTGATCAAATCTGTCAATGTCCTGTGGGGACAAAATCCTTATCTAGCAATTGTCTAGTGCCCAAAATTAGATAGTGTTAGGGCTCGTTTGGGAGTGGTTTTAGTCCTTTGAGAATCATTTATGTAGAGAAGTACCTCCCACTTAAAGTGATTATGAAGAAGTGATTATTGCCCTATCCGAAATCATTTTCAAATGAACCCTTATATAAAATGGGTCGTATAAGGATGTATACTCATATACACTTCGTTTCAGATAAGTTATACTCTCGAGTAGTGGATTTGAACTAAGCACACGAACTAAATGCAAATTTAAATACTACAGCACTTGACAATAAAAAAAAGTCTTTAAGCTTTAAATACTAGATAGCTAAGCGATGAGATTGTATGATGGGCAAAATCGTAAAAAATAGCCAAGAATCTATACTCGATGTGATCATGCAAAATACCAAACACATGCAAGAAACTGTGTGACATGTATGTTAACCTTTCGAGCATATAACAGGTTTGTGGAAGGGTATTTTGGTCATCAATGAATTAAATATAGCTTCAGAATACGATGAAAACGATAGTACCGCCAGCTAGATTTTCATGTGCAAAAAAGATATGGCAAGTCTTCTTATTTTATACAAACCGATATTGAAGGAGGGATATTCAAACCTATAATCCCGAGTGCAGGTACATACTCTTAACTATTTGAGCTATAAACTCGTACTTTTTTCTCGCTAAAGTAGATAAAATATTTGAAATTAGAACATTTTTCGATATTTAAAAGTGAAATACAAGTACAATAACTGAATTGGCAAAAATTTTGAGTTAAAATAGCCGGAAATGTATGGGAGAGAAATATGCATATGCCCCCACAAAGACTTTTTCTTGAGCAATGACATTTTCATACAAAAGCAGAAGTATATTATTATAGGACCAGACCAGACTAGTAAGAAATATATTAATGAAAACAACCTCCTCATGGAGCTGAAGAGGATCTGAATTTGTTACAGAGACCAAGATCAATTAAAAACAACCGATCTTCAATATTTATGGCAGCCACCTCTACGTATGAGCTCTAAGAAACTACGAAACAAAACAAACACCAAAAAGAAAAAAAAACTACAATATCAAGTAGATCGATGAGGCTGCTACATGATATTTGTACGTGTTTGAGGTTACCAATTTCAAAAACACATATATATTTTCCAGGATGATCTCATTTACGAAAAAAATGAGAGCACCTTTCTAAACACTAACTACACTGTAAATCTGTTCAATGATCGGAACCGTCTATAATAATACGTGATAAAAAACCGTAGCTAGAATTACGAGAGCTTACCATCTGTGTCGAGTGATAAGGTTGTGTGGCAATTAGCTGCACACAAGAGAACTAACAGCAGGGTGCTGAGCTTGTTATACATGGTGGTTCGGAGCCAGAGAGAGAGAGTCAGAGAATTAGAGAGTGTTTTTTTTTGTGTGTGAGAGAGAGGGAGAGAGGGTTCGAAGGTGAATTGGGTTTGAGATCAGAAGGGAGTGAGCAGTGGTTTATATACTGCTTGGTGTTGTGAGAGTGCCACTGAAGTTGGACTAAACCACATTAATGCCATTGTTGGAAATTTTGGAACTATATAATAAAATCCTTAGCAAAGCATCACCTTCCTCGAAACTCAAAATCTTTATATTACGAAACTCTTGTTTTATTTGGTCCAAAGAAAACCTACCGGCCAGGGCAATCTTGCACAAAGAGACAAGCATCAAACCAGACAGACACAAAATTTTTATAGTTCTCTACAATTAGTAGGTGTTACGATTATTTGTGATTGATTGGTTGGGATCAGATTTAGAAAGCCAAAAAAAAAGGGAAGATTGGTTGGAAAAATCTAAATCCAAGAGTATCCCAATATAAGTCACCGATGAAATTTTCTTTCTCAGCTAATAGGAGAGCGTGATGAAATGAGTTAAAATTAAGATAATTTACGAATTCTTTTTTTATGTAATAATAATAACGAATCAAATCGCATTACGTATTTATAAAACAGTAGCGACGTTCAAATAAACACCTAGGTTCAAACACATTTTTTGGCCAAAATTCGATCTAATTTTTAACCAATCATGCGAGAAATGAACACTTATCCACATAAAAAGTTAATGATAATAATAATAAACTCTTGTTGAGTGTAACCAGAGATGTTGTTCTGGCAATTTTAATTCCACGGCTCAAAGAATTTAGGAATTTCTTGGTTAAAGTAAACTACTGACACGTACTATTAATTAAGAATGCTAATAATATTTTTGCCTGAAATCACTCAAAGATTTAGAAAATTCCGATCCTTAACTTGGGATTTCAGGCACAATCTTCCGGGGGAGGCTCTAGTCTCTAGACAAGCAATTCAAAATCCATGTGTTTTGCAAATGAATTTGCTTATACGATGTCGGTTTGAGGGTGACTCGTATATAAAACTATATGATATATGATCCCAAACCAACTTTGAATCTTAGCATGCAAAGCCACATGGCTGCGGTGGAAACGGTTCATGTTTTGGTATTTTAGAGAATTTGGATGGACCTTCACAGAAGGTGACTGCAGTATAAAAAGACTAAATTACCCTTCATCCATTATATGGATTTAAGCAGTTACGCTTGTACCTAAGGTCATGACTATAGACAAAAAGACCAAATTACCCTTCATTCGTTATATGGATTTGACCAAACTCGTGCATTTGACATCCTGTTCGAATCCCTCCTCTCCAATATATCGCTTATATAAAAAGGAAAAAAATAAATAAAAAAAATCAGACCCATTATTTGTTCTTCTTTTTAAATTTGTAGCTCGTGGGAACAATAGAAAAACATCATAATCAAACAAATGCCCATTACATAATCAATCAAAATTCAAGAGGGTTTTGGGAAATCTTTTAACTCATCAGATCTTGTATATCCTTTTGGCAAGTGGAAACCCATGTGCAAAATGGCATCTTGATTGAGTGTGTTTTCATTTTCTTAATGCAATTACCAGCCAAATTATTACTTTATCAGTTTTCCTTTTGCTTCTGTTCTTCTGTGGTCGGCAATAATTTTCTAGTTTATTATGGCATCTGTTGGATGGTGAAGGTTGGGAGAGGAGGACGTGCAATATGGATGGGCATAAATGACTATATGTGGGCAAGTTTGGGGTACAATCAACATGGATGCATGTGTAGTGAAGCGTGTTACAATCAACTCAAATGATCAGGCTGTATGTGGTGAAGTAGACTGAAGGAGACTTGTGATTCGAGCTCAAACAACTGTATTGTTAAGAAAATGTAGGACAATGGCCTTCTCAAAATATTAGGTTTGTAAGTTGTAGTATTATTAGTGTCAATCTCCAATCTAAAACTCAAAATAAAAAATTTGGGTCCAAATTGATGGAGGGTAAAACGTTTTTTTTTTTTGCTCCAATGGTTTGGATTAAATTTTTTTAGGCCGTCTCTATGTTCTCTTAGCGTACGAGTAGTATGTCTTTTGACTTCAGTAGTTGGGTTTGGTCATATGACCTAGGGAAAATGCTATGAAGATCATATTATTATATCACATTGTGTATCAACCCTCTAATAAAATGACCTACTTGTATTAGTGACCTTACCTTTATTTGTGATGTGGTACAATAACATAGTCTTCCTAGCATCACTCAAAACCTAGATATAGGTTTGGTAACTTATTTTGAGGTGTTTGACTCCAAACTCTTCGGGCTATTGAAGAGTGATTTTGACTCAAATCTCCATTTGGGTTTATGGTGTTTTGAGCATGGATTGATGATGATGGCCTAGGAAGATTAGAGAACACGTGTCACCTTATGGACTTGAAGATAACAATAACACCTCAAGCTAGCTTAGGTGTATATGCATAGAAAAACTTGCATGAAACGGGGATATCACCTTTTTACTATTTAAGGCCAGTCACAGACTGACACATGGAAAAGTGATCACGCATGACATAACGTGATTGGTTGTGAATGACAAAATAATGTTATCCTCGTTTCATGTAAGCAGCGGCGAACCCATGAATTTTTCAGATGAGGTGCAATTCTTAAAAGCTAAAAGCATATAAAAAGAAAAAGAAAAAAAAGACAACTAAATCTTTATAATTTAAACAAAATAACTGTATAATTAAAACAAAATAAGGGTTTTAAATTGGTTTTTTATAAAGAGAATTCTCAATCACACTTAAATAAGGAATTCCCAAAGCCCAATTGAATAAAGAAAAGTTCCAATTAAAACCCAATTAGGTAGGAATTATAAAAGCCCTTTAGAAGCCCACGAATGGCCCAATAGTTTCCCATTTTTTAAATCTTTTATTATTATTTATTATTTTTTTTATAAAGCAGCGTTTGGTCCAAAATGACGTCGTTTTGGCCAGCGCCTTTTTATTTTATTTTATAAATATATATAATAAAAAAATTTTATTTTTAAATTTTAATAAATAAATAAAAAGGAGGTTGCACTGCGTGCAGCTCAGTAGCACAATTCACTTGCACATTTCATCGAACAGCTTCCATGCATAAGCAGAAGTGCAACTTCAGCTGCTTTTATGGAGTTTTCCAGCGACCAGAGGTGCAGGTGCACCTCCTTGCACCTACACAGGTCCGCCACTGTATGTAAGTGTTTCTCGTATATAAGGCATGGACATGTAGTTATGATGGGCCTTAATGTAATTGGGCCAATGGGCCACCAATGTAATTGGGCCAATGGGCCACCAATGGTCCTTAGCATAAGAACTCTCCAAAATAATTGTTTGACTTTACCTCAAAGGTCACTATGTCTATATGTCCCCATCTTCACTGTGGATTTCGGTGGACAAAATTGATACAAAAATAAATAAAATGTCGGAAACCTGCTATAAAACATGTAAATTATGTGTCAAATTTCTGCAAACTCCGAAACCAACCAATAATGCATCAAGTGTAACACATCAACTTTGTTATGAAGTTTATTTTTGACCTTTTCACAAATGAGCTTATTTGTAAAAATTTATTTAACCAAATTTGCATAAAATGCAGCGTTATGCACGACGGCGACACTACACTAACAAAACTTTGAATCTTAAATACAGTGTGTAGAATACATTTTCTTTGTTCAGACTCCATTTTGTAATTTTTTTTTCTGGTCGGTAAACAAATTATATCAAATATTGTATCACTTGTTGACATATCTCCAAAACTCGTAAAAAAATATTGCTTCCTCTCCTTTTAATTATCAGCAACCCCACCCCATTTTACATATTCCGTTAATATTGGAGATATTTAAAAACTTCCAGCATTTCACTTGTAAAATATAAATACTCTAAATCGCTTAAGCTATAAACTTTTTGCGTTTATCTAAATTGTAAAAACTTCCAGCTTTTCACTTGTAAAATATAAATGCTCTCAATTGTTTGAGCTACAAACTCTTTGCGTCCGTCTAAATTAAATATAAGCAAATTTTAGTAGACTACAAAGATCTGATGCTTTCCAATATTTTCACAGAATCATCAAAATTGAACTTCAAAAATCGTGACGGAGGAAGAGGTTTCCAATCATCAAATTCAACATTAATTTCCATTACCATCCAGATCCAACAAAAAACTTACAAAACTATAAAAATAAAAAAAAATAAAAAAAGAGAGAGAGAAAAGATCCAAGATCCAAGATCCGAGATCCGAATTCCAAATTACGAAATCACAAAATCAATATATTTTCTGATTTTCATTTCGACAAATTTCAATATGCCAAGTGGCTAAATTGCCAAAGGCAAGGACTAAGTAAGTAGAAGCCATCCTAATATCGCCGGAGAACATCAACCGCCTTCGCTCCGGCATCACCATCTTCTTTTCTTTTCGCTACTGGTCTGATAAATCAGAGGCGAGCCGAGACGCGATGGCCGAGTGGTACATGATATCGTGGAATGCCGAAGTCTCCAGGGTCTTCTTCCGGAGATGCTTCGCCTTCTCTTCCGTGAAGCACCCCAGCGCGAATCTGGACCCGGGTCGGGCAGGGTCGCTCTCAGAAATTGGATCGTTGTTGCGGGAGTTTAGCGCCAGATCAGCGGTGATGTATTCTGCCGGGTCCGACGACCAGCCGAAGAGCGGGGTCCACCAGCTAGAGGAAGAGGGCTTGAGGCGATTCGGGTCGGGTCGCTGGGATCCGGAGGCGTTGGGACGGATCGAAACGGGTCTGAAAGACGTGAGAGGAGTTGCCATGGCGATGGTAGATCACAGATTCACAATGCAGTGTATGCAGAAGGAGGAAGACAGAGAAGGGTTTTAGAGATGATGGAAATATAGAAACTGTGGGAGAGAGAGGTGCAGTGGCTTTTTGGTTTTTGATGGTTTTGAACGTTTGACAGAGATGACTGATTTCATCCTCTACGGCCTTGACTTCCATATCTAGGTGAAGCTCTTGCATTGAGTGTTTGTACTCGAAGGTATTTTTGTCCTTGCAGAAAGTAACTATGGGTATAATGGGAAATAAAGTACAACAAAATAACGGGATTTGGATGGGTAGATTATGAAATGGGGTTTTAGGTGATGGGAGCTTGGTGAGGGAAGTGGATAAGATCGGACACGTGGGAGGACGTGGAGGGATTGAGTGGTCTATTTTTCCTATTTTTTATTGTTTACAAGTGTACTTTTTATGGTCTTTTTTGACTTTCAACTTGAAGGGGGCCTCTGATGTGGCTGGTGGTTGGATCTTTTGTGCACTTTCTGAAGATAAAGGCCGAAGGGGGACCTGGCGGGGTGAACAGTATGAGATATTTTCGAAGCAATTGCCCAATGGGCTTTAAGAGGATTCAACAAAGCCCAATTTGTACCCAATGGGCTTTGAGAGAATTCTTCTTGGGGATTGGGAGGGAATTTAGAATTAAAATAAAATCACTCAAAATTGTAATGTCTTAAAACATTAAGTATTCCACGTCATCTACTGATTGGAGAGATTATTTTCAACGTTGATTTAATGGGAAGAATATATATATATATATATATTTTAATATTTGGGAGGAATGAGAAGAAATTTGGTGGGTCCCACTTCAAACCACAAAGACCAAATCTCATTTTCATTTTCCAATTTGGTATAGCTTTTGATACTAAATTTGACACTAAGAACTTTCTGGAGCATCGAAAATGACAATTTTATTTAAAAGATATTTTTATTTATTAAGATGGGCGATAACATAATAAATTTATAAATTACAAATAAATTACAAGAATATATTAATAATTTTGATTGAAAAAAGTTAATATCATTAATATTAGTTTTTTCTTATTTTATAAATTTACTATTATTCACGAGATTTGAACTCATGTCTTTTTGAAAATGTGAAAATAATGTCAGTACATCAAGTAATAATTAACTAATTTTTATAATAAGTTTTTTTTTCTTCAGAATAACAGAGTTAATTTTGATTAAAAAAGAATCATCGAGTTAACATTACTAATTAGTTTTTAAAACCACTTTATTTTAAAAAAATTGGACCTCAAAAACGAGTCTTATTGAAATGGTGACGAATCTAGAGACGTCGTTTTGATTTGTTTGGAAACCAAGCCAGGACGCACCGTTTAGTACTTCAGTGGTCGTAGCCACGCAATCTCATCCATTCCCTGTTGAAACTCTCTCTTCACTTGGAGCCCTCACTTCCGCGCCATCCACAGCTCTCTGCTTGTGCGCCCACAGCGCCATCCATCGCTGCGCTGCTCTGCTTAGCTCAGCTCAGCTCCACCAAAATTTTCTCACCGTAATCCCTCTCTCTCCTTCGTTAGGGTTTCACAAATTCATTTTCCTAATTTTATTTAAAATTTTCTTAATTTCTCATACTTTAGCTTTGCTGTTCCGTTGCTAGGGTTCTTTGAGCACTGGGTTCGCGGTTCGTATCGCATATCAGGTAATTTTACTTTTGGTCCTTTCCGTCCTTTGGTTTCAATTCACCTTGTCTGTGTTAATTTATCATTGGAAATGTAACATGCCATCAAAGACTCTTTGTTTTCACCTACTAATTGAGATACTTGAGTTTGATGCCATTTTCTTCTATCTTCAAGCTTCTGTTAGCTTCTCTCTTTGATATATATATATATATATATATGTATGTATGTGGGTGTGTGTGTTTTTGTAGGTTAAGGATGTCCTTATTGTAAGAAAAGTGCACACATCCTTCCTAGGGCTACGCTACCCAACAATTTATTTCAACAATCCGAACCGTCTATATTTTAGGTTATCTTAAGGTTACCCTTCAAAAAATCATCCAGATTGAAAGTTTTTTAGTCTTAAAAAATGTGCAGAAAAACGCCGTTTGTTAGATAACTTTGAATCGTAAATGTGGATAATTAAATGTCTAAAAAGTTTCTGATAGCTTTTTTGTTTTTTTTTTTTTTTTTTTTTTTTTTTTTTTGCATAATCGTTGAAAGAGAACCTAAAAACTGAATGGTTCCGATCATTGGTTTACAACCCATAAATAGGAGAATAGGGACATTCTTACTATAGAAAGCCTATATATAAATATTTCTATGTTTACTTTCAAATGATTTATTTGAAACTATATTTGCATCCGTTGCATCCCACATGTATATTATATTATCATTTTCTTTACTGTTTTGGTTGTTCATTTCCTTAAATCTTTCATTTCTGGTGTGTGTAATGTTTAGTTGTATTAGTGTAGCCCTTGAGGCCTATAAAGTGAATGCATTCTTATCTACTGCTGCCACCAATCTCAAGAAAACGAAAACAAACATTTCTTCGTAAGATACAAAAGGGGTTGGTTTGAGATCATTTTCATAAGTTAATTAAACCCAGTGATGATATGGAGTTTTATGCTATGTGTCAGAGATAAAATGTGAAGAGATTCACGAAGAAGGTAAAAGAACATCTTTAGAGGAATTGATGGAGTAACTCAATTTGGCTGATTAAAGATAATATGTACGAAGTTTAAGATATAGAGTAGGGTAACAAGTAGTCTATCTTAGAATGAATTTGGAGTGGCGCTATAGCCATCCCAAACCATATTTGCATTCGCTATGGCCCAGTTTTTACAAAAATAAAAAAATTACAGTTTTATCTCTATGTGAAATTAACTAAAACAATAATTCATTAAAAAGCCTGACTTTTTGAAAATAAAACATTGAAGGAGTGGCCCCTGTTTCCAGGGAAACCCCATGTCTCGGGCGCGGGTATCCACCATGGCATGACCATTTCATTAATTTCCAAAACACCTTTGTGCCAGAAGAGTTTTGCCACATTATGCCATCAAATGTACTGTTCTAATAATTGAATTTTCAATATTGTTATTCTGATATAGCTGTCCAAGAATTACTTCATATAATTTATGTAAACTTCAATATTTTGCATTGGTTCTCTAATTTCTTTCATCACTCCAAGGTGCGGTATCCAGGAAATATGGTTGTTTGTCACCCATGACTGGTAGCGCCAAGTAATGTGCCCACCACCAGTAGTGTGCAATAGAGGATGAAAAAAAGCTAATGGGGGTCGGGCAGTGCCCATGGCCACTGTCTTTCTTATTTAGTGAGCATTGGGGTTAGGGCTAGGGAAAAGGGAAGAATAAGAAGCAGGGGTAATTTAGGATTAACGGGGGGTGAGATGAATGGATTAGTATCCTTTTTAAAATTTGAACGGGGCTGAGTATATGGAGAGGGTGGGGATATAGGATTTGAGGGTGGCAACAGTGCCACTCTAAAGTTGTAAGTTTAAGAATTACAATTCATAGTTCTAAGAGATCATGAATACAATCAAAACGGATACTGGACACAATGAGAAACAACATTGAAAGGGAAATATAACAAATGTTAACCATTTTTACAAGGTGGGCCCAAAAAGAAGCCCGGTGAATAAAATATAACAAAGCTCAATGAGAGGAAGGGATAGCTTGACCAACTTTTAAAAATAGTAATATAATAATAACAAACGAGGCATTAAATACTTGTAATAAACTTCAAAGATGAGATAAGAAGGGAAGAATGTAGTGAGAGAGAGGCTCTTTATATCTGGGCCTCGAGTAGGTTGACTAGTCCTCCTTCGGTTCTTCTATCTCCATTCACTGTGTAATCAGTTTCTCATTTATTTATTTATTTACAATTTCTCTAAATAGTAGTTTATTGAACTATTTTTTCAGTGTTAGCCCCAACTATGTTTGGATTGAACTACTTGAATATCCCTGATATATGTGTGTGTGTTTGTGCTCAGTGCTCACAGAAAGTTAACTAAATGGCAATAATACCGTCTGGAAGTACATGGGTTGCTCAATGGGGTATTCGTCCTCAGACTATGCTAAGGCCCTGTGCCATGAATAAGATGCTCACATCCCAATGCTGGTAAGTTTCTGTTTTTTTACATTTAAGAGCCTTATGAACAACATTCACTCCAGTTATAATGTTCTGATTATACTCCTATTATATCACGAACAGTTTAGACTATCATTTAGAATTAGAATAAAACACCAGTACCTGTTGACGTTTTCTCTATATATGCTATATCTGTGCCTCTGGTTTATTTGGTTTCAAATTTTAAATTAAAGCACATCTGCTTAACATGCTACCAACATCTCTTAGATTTTTATATAGTATTAGTTTAAGGATCATCTTGAATGCAGTGTTACAAGCAAAATAGGCCATTTGGGGGCACCGAGTTCAAGCTTCTTCTCTCGGGATTCCTTGAATGCTCTATTCTGTGCAGGCCCATCTCAAACTTCACATCGCAGTAGGGGAGCGAGATTCATAGTTAGAGCAGATTCTGTGAGTATAACAAACATTGGTTTTACTTACCTTTACTTCCTTGAATAAAGAAGCTTAATTGAATGAGTGCTCATTAACCGTTTCACAATTGATCTAAACTCATTCTCACATCCAGGATTTTTATTCTGTTCTTGGGGTCTCAAGAAATGCGAGTAAATCAGAAATCAAAAGCGGTATCTACACTTCTATTTTCTTTCTTCTTTTGTTTTTTTTTTAATTTTCCTAAAACTATTGTCAGTGTATTGTTTCTGTTGCTTTTATATGCTTTCTTATTATTTGCTAATTTGTATTTTTGCTATAATTTTATAACCAGTCATTTTTGTTGATTTGAGATTTGATCTGTTTATAGAGAAAACTGCTTCCATTATGATATTCAGTTGTTAATTCTCCCTTAGCCTTGCATGTTTATTTCATTTTTTCTGCACATCCGATACATGGGCAAAATTTCTTCAAGGAAATTTCTCTGCTGTACATTGCATGTATACAGTATACAGTCCATCCATTTCAGCAAGACTCCTTGTCCTTGGTATCCAGGCATCCAAGACTGAAAATTTTGAAATATAATATGAAACCCTCTACTGTGTGAGGATTGTATTGTATTGTGAAAAAGTCAGGGCCACTTCTTGAATGTATACATTCATAGATATAAACTTAGTGATTTCAGTAGTCTCACGTCATTACTTTCATCAACCTCTTTTAGCAGCTAATCTCATGATTTTTCCCTTGCGGGGCTGAAGAAACAACCGATAGGATGCTATTGGAGGTAGTTGGACTATTAGTTTCCTGAAGTCATAGGAAGTTTTGCCCCCTCAAATAGCAGGGGGTTCAACTGAATAATTTGACCTGATGTAACTTGATTGTGCACCTTTGGCAGAATATTTCCACTTGCTTTTCTATGATATATTACTTTGCTCTATATATTCTAATATATACTTTCTCCAATCTCCACCCTCTCTGAATTTTGGGATAAGGTGAAAAACAACTCATGTCACTAGATTTGGTACTTACGCATTTTAAGAATAACAATGCCATCTTCCAGCTAAGGCGTGTGTTTTAAAGTTTTTTGTGGGATTTCATATTGTCATTATGAATGAATTTCTATAACAGAAATACAAAGTAACCCTTGGTATAGGAACCTAATATGTGAAATGCTTTGGTTTGGTACAGATCAGAAAATAAAACTAAGCTTCTATCTTTTTGGATGTTTAAAGCATCCAGTGTGATGTTCGTTTGCTTGAAAGGTTTAATACATTAGGATGTGTGGCTTGAATTAATCATGGTTTGTGCTTTTTTGGTTTGATTATGTGTTTTTTTTTCCTTCTAGATTTTATCATCCTCTAATTTCTCTTCTGTATACTTTTCACATTTCAGCTTACCGGAAGCTTGCAAGAAGTTTTCACCCAGATGTAAACAAGTGAGTCAGTATTGCCAACTTAATTTTGAATAATAGTATCTACCAGTTTCTTTTCCCATAAATTCACTTTCTATCTTTTATCCTGCGTGTATGCATGTGCACATGCATACGAACCCATGTGTGTTGTGTTTTGTCCTATGAAAAAACTAATCTCAGCTGTGTTATGTTGTGATTGAATGTTGAGCCAGATTGTTATGTTAGTGATCTATCAGCATGGTCCATAGAATTTGATGGTAGTATGTTTGAAGGTTTATGGTTAGTTTATTTTTCATTATATACAACTGTAGCATACCAACAGAAATAAGTGCAAATCGAAGGCCATGAAGAATATTCTCCCAAACTGTTGGCTATATTCATATCCTTTATAACATGTCAATAGTGGTACAGCTTTAAGAGAAAAAAGCTGCTTGTAGGATATAGGTTCATACCTTGGCTTTGGGATTTTAGTAACTTGTGATTTAAATCTTAGGGTTGTCGAAGGAGATGCATAAGGGCTTTGCTAGAGCAAATTAGGGTTTGGATGAATGTATGTAAAGTGGAAAAATGAGTTGGATTTGAAAAGGGCAGCTTGCTAGAAATCCACTTGCAGTAGCTAATTTCTTGGGGCTATGTGGCTGTTTCAAAATTGGTAGACCTGAATCTGATCAAAATGCATCTGGTTCCTTATCTCACCACCCAGGTTAAAGTGACTGGGTGAGTTTAGATTAGTCAGTTTTCATGGGCTGTGTCGTAAGCGGGGTTTGGTAAGATGAACACTAGAAAAGGACACAAAAGCTTGATTGAAGCATTGAGGCTGAGTTGAACCTCTCTAGCTCTTGATGGTCATATATTCAAATTATATTTTTGCCAAAATGGTGAAACCTTTTCTGTCCTATAAAAAATGCCCAACTTTCTAGCTGTCCCTCTTGAGGAAATTTTTTTCAGCACTACCTATGGTTCTTTTCCAAACGAATATTCTCTCAAATATAGGTATTAATCGAACTATCAAATTATGTACATATATGTGTTTTGGATGTCTCATGTCTGGATTTTTGGAAGTTCATGTGTTGGGCCACCTTGTCTTAATGTCAAGACGTGCAAACCTGTCCACAAGTTATTGGAGTTGGCACATTAGTTTTTCCCTTTTTGTCACTATTGAAGAGATAGAAGTAAAACTGTTCTAGTGGGGTAGCTGAAGTCAGAATTTTCCTCTTATGAAGTTTGATATATATCACCGGTGTATATCTGTTTTGCGAGTGGAATTGTTTTTTTCGAGTCTTTCCTTTATTTCCCTTCTAGCTTAGCTTTAGTTTATACCAATCTATTAGGTAAATGCTGTCTGTTTTCATTTTGTGGGAATTATTCTTTTCTATGTTGCAGAGAACCAGGGGCAGAAACAAAATTCAAGGAAATTAGCAATGCATATGAGGTAAAAGCATGGTTTTATTATGCATCATTGACCCGGTGGCTGTTGTAGTCGTTATTTTAATTATTTAATCTTTGTAGGTCTTGTCTGATGATGAAAAACGATCACTATATGACAAATATGGAGAGGCTGGACTTAAAGGTGCTGGTATGGGTAGTGGGGTAAGTACCTCTCCAATCTTGATTGGGTAAAGATAGTTTTATTCATTGTATCTTTACTTTCTTACAGTGGGATGGTTAACTGTAATATTTCAGGATTTCAGCAATCCGTTTGATCTGTTTGAGTCACTATTTGAGGGCATGGGTGGTATGGGTGGGATGGGCGGAATGGGTGGAATGGGGGGAAGAGGTTCTAGGAGTCGAGCGGTTGATGGACAAGACGAATATTATAATCTTGTCTTGAACTTCAAGGAAGCAGTTTTTGGGGTCGAAAAGGAGATTGAGATTAGCCGGTTGGAGAGCTGCGGGACTTGCAATGGTTCAGGTGCTAAACCAGGCACCAAGCCATCCAGATGCAGCACATGTGGTGGGCAAGGTCAGGTTGTTCAATCAGCGAGGACTCCTTTAGGTGTCTTCCAGCAGGTCATGACATGCTCTTCATGTGGTGGGTCTGGGGAAACATCCATCCCCTGCAACACTTGCTCTGGGGATAGTCGGGTGAGGAGGACGAAGCGGATCAGTCTTAAAGTTCCAGCTGGTGTGGACTCTGGAAGCCGTTTAAGAGTCCGAAATGAAGGTAATGCTGGAAGGCGGGGCGGGTCTCCTGGTGACCTATTTGTTATTATAGAAGTTATCCCAGACCCTGTCCTCAAACGGGATGATACCAACATTTTGTACACCTGCAAGGTGTCGTATATTGATGCAATTTTGGGGACTACAATTAAGGTTCCAACAGTTGACGGCATGGTTGATTTGAAGATTCCAGCTGGGACCCAACCAAACACGACCCTTGTGATGGCCAAGAAAGGTGTTCCGCTTTTAAACAAGAGCAACATGAGAGGTGATCAGCTGGTCCGTGTGCAGGTTGAAATCCCAAAGAGATTGAGCAATGATGAGAAGAAGCTCATCGAGGAACTTGCGAGTCTAAGCAAGGGCAAGGCCACAAGCCGGAGATAATTTTTTTGTGGTTCTTTGTTTCATCCATATAGTGCTGACCCCGTCAGTTTACATTCTTCTTTGTTGGTGCATCTTTTTGGCCTTGATGCGCATTATGGAATTCATCAATTTTGAATTAGTTTGGGAAGGGGATCATATCTGTAGTCGTAGGTTAAATTATCTGGTGATAGTGTGTCAGCTCTAGGGAGGGGACCTAAAGGAGGTACAAAAGAAATAAGACATCTTTTCTCATAATATATGCATTTAAACTTGATGTTAATTGTTGCCTTATTCTTTGGGATCAAACAGAAATCGTATGATATAATTGTCTTTTTTCTTCTTTTGACGGTTGTTTTATATCCCATTACTTCCAAGCATGCTTCCGACACTAGCTTATGTGCATGATGCTCGGTTACTGAAATTTCTTTGAAGTGTTAAAACTTCAATTTTTGTGAAGCGGTAACATTGATTCGAGTCAACACACCCATGTACTAAGTGAATCACGGCCTCTACATTTAGGGACTGCATTTACCCGCATTTGAGAGAATCTTGAACATTCATTAAATTTAATGAGTAGAAGTAAGTCATGTCACATATATATTCTTTTCTCGCAAAACACTCTTGCAGCTAACTAACGGCATCAATTTTCCATCTATTTTGGGTGAAAACTTTATTCTTCCTCTAATGAACAAAATCGAGTCTCTACTGTAAAATATTGTACATTTATATGCATTCGGAAAAAAACTTAAACAACCGAGTAATCCAACATTGTTCACCAAGCGCCGTCAACACTGGATTTTGTTTCTTATTCTTCTCTCTCTCTCTCTCTCTCTCTCTCTCTCTCTCGTAACACACCGTTTCTAACTTTCCCTAATTTTTCCTCTCTTTTTTTCTTCATTCTGTGTTCCTTTGTTTATTTACAATAAATTCTTCTTCTTCTTTTTTATAGCAGAATTTGCAATAAATCCAGAGAAGAATTTTTCTTCAACCACATTGTTACCCATATTTATGAGTTCTTCAATATGAAAGAACAAATCTTCAGTGAGTTGAGCATCAGAGTATAGTTGATCAAAGAAAAGATAAATTTTTCAGGAAGAATATGTATTTGAACCAAATTAATTTTGGTTGAGTATCAGGTTGTGGAGAGCCCGTTGATGAAAAAATGGCTTTGGCCCTTCGTTTTATGAGGTGTCCTCGATCTAGCGATTGAGACACGAAACACCAGTGGTGAAACCTATATACAAAATGAGAAAATACGTTATGAAGAATCCTCCTCCCGTTTTCGGTTCTCCTGCACAATGCTTCTTCCAGCGTCGTGAGGGCTCTGTTTCTCCAGCTTCTTTCTCAGCTTGGAGAATTCCCCAACAATTACACCACTTTTCGCCGTAAAAGGCAAGTTTCGCTTCTCACTTAACCAAACAGCTTTCTCTTCCGACACTAGGTGGGCATGACTAGCCGTTGAGGAAGGAAGTCTATCGCAGTGAGTGGCGTGGAATTGACTGAACAAAGCAAAACATCAAATCTAATAAGTCTGATAAGCCTTCAAGAAGTCGTCAACTCTCTCTCTCTGCCAGCTAATACAAGGGTAAGAGGCTTGCCATTATCCGACATGTTACCTCCACTCTAAAAGGCCCTGTGTAATGCAAAGGAATCGTTATGGCTAAGACCAAAGGGCACACCTTGATCGAGCCCAAACTATTGTCTAACTCGATGCGACGTGTAGAGCACAGAGACCTCCTAGTGATCGTCATCTAGTGTGAGCAAAGGGAGACATGCAACAAGGCATCTTTTCTCAAATGACGACCTTGTGCCGTCACCGCAGGAGCCTCAACATTAGCCTTCTCCCCATAGCTTAAGAATTCTTGTGAGAACCCTGTCATAGGTGAAGAGCCAGTGCCAGAAGTTACCCGGCGATCCCGCGTCTGTATCCAGATGTTGCATAGAGAGGGGCTTGTATCCGGCTGTTCCTTAATTTTTTTCAATACCCCTGTGATATCAGCAAGGGTTGGTCAGACTAGGTTGATCACGAACTAATGGACCTATCTACATCTTACGCAGGACAGAGGTGTTGGATGCCATTTTTCTTTCCAAGACGTGCGACATTCAAATCGAAGCAAAGATGCTTCATCACGTGGTTAGGAGGTGGAGTACCAGGACGCATAACCTTGTTTGTTCATATGGGGAATTTACCCCTATGCTTGAGGATGTGGCCAATATTTTCCACCTCCCTATTTGTGGAAGTCAAGACCCTTTCAATATTGCTCTAACTTCAGAGGACATGGAGTAGCTCGAGATTTTGCGGAAGGGCAGCCTGACCTCTCCCAGCACCTCTTTCAAGTTTAGCAACTGGATACAATATGTTCTCACTCCCTTTTTCTGCAGCTATTTTTATAGGAGCAACTCAAAGGGTTAGATGTGTTCCCACTCCCTTATTCACGAGTTAGGCTAATTGTTGACTCTGGCAAGGGCTCCTATACATCGGACATGCTTCCTCTGATTTGCAAAGGGTCTAAGCGAATACAAAGGAAATGTCAAAATTTCTTAGGGCTGCTAAACAGTGTCGAGAACTTTATTTTCTGCTCTTATGTGCTTGGGTTGGGGAGATTTCACTAAAGATGATTGAATGGAAGAAAGTGAAGAAAAATATAAGAGAAGACTTGATAAAATTGGGGGTTCTAGTGCCTATAAAAGAAGGCACCTCCTACCCAGCAAAACAACCATCCAAAAAGCGCGACCAAGCATTCGTCAGGCTACTGGAAGATCTACTTAAGCCACCCATCCTTTTATCCTCATATCTCCTCTTACTCTGAACCTTTGTTTCCCATAAGAAATTCAATCTCTCTCTATTGCTAAACTCATGAAGACTTAGCTCCCATGCCACAAGCTTCTCAGGCCAAGCTATAATACTAATTTGTCACAGTTGACTGCCTTGTTGGTAAAAGGAACCGAAGTGCTTCCTAAGGCTCCACAAACCTTTCTAAGCACTCTTGGGGCCTGATTCTTGAACTCAGGCACAAAGGCAACTTCATATGTTCGCTCTTTACAGCAGCCCAAGCTCATTTACAGTTGTTGGAAAAAAAAAGCCCCTACACTCTCAAATACGGGTAAATGCAGAGGCTCAGGATCCGTAGTTAGTCTCCAAATGTACAGAAGGGCTCCTTTACATGCATGAAGTATGATCAGTCAACAAAAGAAGGTATTTCACACATGCAACACTTAATATATGGCAACACAAATAACATAAAGGATGTGCTAATTACAGTACAAGATCTGATTCCTCAAGACAACATCCATAAGCCGCAAAATACTCATACTGCAGAATCTCACAACTGACTACTTTAACTGCTACCCGGAAAAAGGCAAAAAGAAAAAAGAAAAAAAGAAAAGATAGATGATCAGCATCGGAACATGAAAACACCAGTAAAACCTTCAAGAGAATAGATGGCCCAAGACCAAATCAAAACTTGCGACCAGCAACACCGGAATCCCGCATCTCCCACGATGGTCTACTCTCTTTGGCAATATCATTCTTGATTGCTCGTTCAATTGGTTTAATGGCAAAGAAATACTATTAACAGGAAAAGAGAAATGAAAATAGTTAATTAGTCCTTGCATCAATAGAGAGAAAAAAGAACTCCAGGTATAAAGTATGTACAAGCTCACCTGGATTATTAAGATCAGAGGAATTAAAAACTTTCCTTTCTCATTAGGGTTTGGCCCGTCAATCAACTTTTTGTCAACATAGATGGACTTGCTGCCACTCAAGATGACTTCTGTGATTGTTTGGACTAAATGAGGTATCCAAGCAGTTCCATTTGGAAGAACCTGTTACCAAAGGACAACCAACAAAAAGATGGAATAATAAATAACTGAACTTCAGAGGAACGACTAAAACATGACATAAGGAAAATGACTAACCTTTTCATCACCTTCATTCTTGTTACATCTCCCGCTGTTCTCAACCAAAACAACAGGAATACTTGAAGCCTAAGAGAATACAGGAAAACTATATCACTCAGTATTATATAAGGATGGATTCAAAATTTAAGTCATAAATCAAATTCATCAAACTCACAAGAAACTCATGGAACCCAGTTAATGTGAACAAGACTACTCTTCATTGACAAAGGGAAAATAAAAATGTTGAATCAAAAGATCTAGTTTTCTTGATTTTTTTCATTTGTAGTTTGTACTTGCATCCATAACAGTACAGTATTTCATGTCCCAATGTAAATCCCATCGAACTACCCTCTTGTTAAGTAATATCTGTCAAACATGAACATAACACATAATTCAGAATAACTTAATTGAAGATTTTAGAGTTAGGACCTTCCTATGGGACAGGCATGCATATCTTACAACATTTTGAGACACAAAACCTATCACATTCATCTAATCTCCATCTTAGAGCATAGACCACATACACAAAACAAAAACAAAAACAAAAATAAACATGGTGTCCAAATCATATTCTTAGCAACCTGGCATAACCATGTCAGCATTACAGCATGACTGCTTTGCTCTTTTTCAGAGCAATGACCAACTAAGAGAATATCCTAGGATTTACTTGCACTAAATAACGGAAATGTTCATATCTTTATTTTCTTCCAAACACATGTAACAAAGAAATGTTTTATACCTGTCTAGTTTCAAATATTAATTAAAATCCTTGCCCCATAAACCATGATTTTGAAGTATTTATCTTCGCCATTTGAAGCTTATCTATTATCACAAAGCATGAACTCCCCTCCGCATGCTTCATCACCTTTCTATTAGGAGTCTAAGCAGGGACACAAGTTCCTATCTAATGCCTTTACCAAATAAGAAAATGCCCAATACAACAGAAAAAAAAATTGAGCTAAAAACAAAGACTAAACTTGGGAGGAAGAGATTGCTCACCTGTGCATCCTGTTTTTTTAACCCAGCACCAAGACGAACAACTTTTAGAAGAGCTTCAGATCTTTTGGAGACAAACTCTTCATAAGGCAAACCATCTGGTGGTGAGAGCTGAGCATGTGTCAGGACAACCAAAGCCCTATTCCATATTCCTTTACCAAAACTATCCGTTATGGCTTTGACAACCTCCTTATCCAAGTTATCCACCCGATATGCATCCAATCGATCCACATAGAGTAGCACATCTATGGTCTTGTTCAGAAGGAAACTGCTCAAACAAACCAACAACAGAACTAATAGTCCATTAGAATTATTAAATAAATTCTTGAAGAAGAGCCAGACACACATCTCTCAAGAGACTGAAAAATTTACAAATACATACAGCAAAAAATAACCTTTTTATATTATTAAGTGCCATGTCATTAACATATCCTCCCTCTATAAGCCCAGGGGTGTCAATGATGTTCAATGTAAACCCTGCCCTTGAACGTGAAACCATCACAGCTCTTGTTCCTTCAGACTAGACAAAAACAATAAAAAAAAACATTCCAAGTGTATTTACAAAGGCAAGGTGAAGAAACCACTCATCAGACTAAAAACGAGAGCAAGAGCACACCTGAAAAGGACTTATAGAAACAGCCCTTTCACCAATGAGTGAATTGACAGTGGATGATTTTCCAACTCCACCTTTCCCCATCACAAGAATGGTCAAACTGTTCACATTCTACACCCACACCACACAAGAATAAACAAATTTAAAATAGAATTACAACAAAATAACACTGAATTATAAAATAAGAATAAAGTATGTAATTAACATAACAAAGAAAAAGGAACCTCTTGCTTCAGTTTTCCCAGCAATTCAAGCAACTTAGTCTGGGTGGCAGGTGCGAAGCTATTTATTCCAGCCCATTCTCTAATTATCTGGGATGCCATGACTCAATTTCCAAACTAGCTCTCTGTAAATAAAAAGAAAACAAAAATAAATACTGCAACAAACACTTTTTTTCATTTTTGCTTTTTTGTTTTAGGTACATTAGAGTATTTCAGGTTGCAGATAGAGAAAGTGAGTACTTTGAAAACAAAACCCTAATGCAGAATGGTTGAGAGAACTTACTGACCCTTCAATTCCCAAAACAACTAAGTCAAAAGGCTAAGTCTCATCCCTTAATTCGATTTTAGCAAAAGGATTTTAGTGGCTGTAAACTTTTGGGGTTCAAAACAGTCATCACCGAAATTGAATAACAATTTTATCAACAAGTTCCCAAATTTTTTTGCAGTGGTTCCAACCCCAGTCATCACCAAAACCAATGAATACAATTTGCAGTTAGCTTGGAAGTGTAAAAATGATGAGAAGTTCTTTTATGAAGCAATTCCGGCAAAGGACTTACATATTCTATCGAGGATTAAACAACCTAGGACATTCCTTGTAAACCCACACGAATTGAAAATCAGAAAAACCCACCAAAGAACCAAACCCAAACGCAATTTACACAGAAACCCAGATATCATAATCGAACATGCTCTGTGGTTGAGATGGGTGATGAGTTTTAGGGCTGAAAGCAATGTAAAAATTTAAATTTAAAGCAAAAACCTGAAAAAGATAGAGACTTTACTTACCCGTTTGTCTGTGCTAAGATGTGGGAGCCAGAGATAGAGAGAAACGAGTAAGGGAGAGCGAGAGAGAGAGAGAGGGTTAGGGCGGTAAGGATAAGTCAAGTACCTTGTTGCACACTTGCAATTTGTAATTTTTAGATAAAGAAAATTTTATAAAAGAAAAAAAGGAAAGAGTAACATAATATGTGTCGTTTCCTATAATTCTATTGTCGTTCGTTGGGCTCCATTTTTTTATTTTTTAGGTATGGATGGAATTATTATTCTTTTAACTCTTTATTTCTACGTGAATGAATGGCTTTTGGTCCTTAAGAAAACAGAACCAATAAGGTCTTGGTTTTGATTGCTTTGTGTGTTTACTCCTTAATAGGATTTTTGGTTGGGGTTTACATCTTGATATTGTTTCTGATCATTTGCAGTTTGGCGATTAAATTTGTAATTAGAAAAAGGGGGAATTGAACTTTGGTGTAAAGGCGGATGTAAGCACTTTTTTTTTCTTTTTTGTATAGGAGTTACTCTCTTGGTATGCTGATCATTTTATCCCCACTTGAATGGTTGATATTGTGTTTCTGTTGAACTTCTACATTGGAGAATATTTTTCAACCCTAATTGACCCAAAAAGTCGCTCCAATACTGGTAACAAAAAGATGTGTACTAAAATTAAACTTGAGAAACAATCTCAAGTGCTATTTAAGGTGTTTGAACTATTTTATACATGGAAATTGGCTGCAAACCATCAAACTCCATCCCCATGCATGTTGAATTGGTTATAATATGTGAATGTGATAGCAACCAATTCAAATTAACCTGAACAATAACTAACCTGCAGTTAATCTTCTTTTCTATCTTTCACCTACACACAAACACTAACAGTGACTCAGACAAAAACAAAAACACTAACAGTGACAATTTGGTTCAGCCTACGCCTACTCTTCTGCTACTGGTATGCTACTCAATCCTCAAATCTCATGCCTACATTATCTTCATGTCTCGTTCCTTTCATCGCCGATCCGACTCATCTTTCACTCTTTTTGGCCAATTATTTCAGGGTAAATCTGCAAAAGCACAAAGAGACAGCACATATGATATGAGCATATCACCTTCCCTGCACTCATTCAAATTAATACGTAAATGAAATTTGTACTACCATTTTCGTTTAGATATGATATGAACCATTACACTGAAATTGCTTTGAGATCCACTAGGCCTAGTCCTCAAGTCAATAAGTTTTAGGGTGAAAAGTTATTGATAATCTACCTGACCACGTCTCTCTTCACTGAAGCTGGCTTTGATCTTCAGCTCCCCTCTGCTGGTTGTTAACTCGTCTAATATCTCAGCATCACACATCTCCATTCCATCATCTTCGTTAGAAGTTTCTAACTCCTAATGAATAGAATTACATTTGTTCAGATTGATGGGACAAAGGTAAAATAAGGATGATGATCATAAAACTTGTTCATATTGACAAAAGGTGGAAGGTAAATATTGGAAGACAGTAGATATTGCATACCCTGGGAAGACTGAGAGAACGTTTTGGAGCACCAGCGACTTCCTCCCATTCAGCTGAGTCCATTTCCTGCAAGTGATGTGGTTGAAAGAATCTGGGGAGGAGATGCTGTCTTATTATTATGAGAAGGAAGAATGGCAAGGGGAACAAAATGCCGGCTACAGGGATCCATGTCACCCCGAAACAGACCAAGAAGTATACAAGCTGGAAGAGTGTAAATATGGCTATGTATTTGAATGGCACCGACTCCACAAAGGAAGCATGACCACCTTCCAAGACCCTGCCAACATGATCACAACCGAATTAGTGAATATGAGTGGGAAGTAAAACTCACAAATATTGGAAATATTGGTAACAATTGTAAAGAGTTTGGAAATCCTAACATTCAGTATGTTGATTTTGTTAAACATGGTAGTGGGAAACTTATGAATCTAAACTCCACCTCCAAATGTTTCTGGATTTAATTTCATTTATTGACTCCAAGTTCCCTTACAAAATAAGAGTTTTGTTCTCATATGCTGAAATAATAATTGTTAATATTGTGTCTAAACTGTGATCCAAAATGTTAATGGACCATCATGCTGCTTACTTAAGAAGAAGATTTACTTACTTGTACCGCCGGCTAGGGGTGATGAAGAGAAGTAACAGCCTTTCCCAGAATTGGTTCCCTGGAAGACTGTCAATGGCCATGTAAGCAAAGTATCCCCACAGAACTGATTTTGGTATCTTCTTGATGGCTGGCATAGCAAAAACTGATGCTGCCACAAGAAGCGACTGTAACAGATTGCTCACTCTCTGCTCTTTAACTCGGACAGGCAGGTAATCATCAATGTGCTTCTCAGGATCAAATGCATCCTTTGCATTATCCCCTTTATTTTCACTTTTCATAACTGCCTCCTTCAAATCTTCCAGCTCTTTAACTTGTGATGTAGGCTGCGATAGAAACCGTTCAGCTCTTTAACTATCTTTCTTCTCTCTTTTTGTTTCCCCAACTAACATTACCAGTTAAACTCGAAGTTCTTTACTTTTCATATAATTAAGGGAGGTGTGAAGTGTATACGCATGCATCTATAGATAGATATCAATTGCCAATGTAATGCTAACTTGTTGGAGAATTTCAATGAAAGCATGTTCAAATTGAGAAATTTACTGTAGTCGAGTTGTCCATCTCTATGAACACAGCTTGCAATTTTCCATAGATTTCAGAGTTGCTAGCTTTCTGCTTTATACTTTCCTTAGCACTCTTCACCATTTTCTTTCGAATCAACTGCATATAGATTAGATGAATTAAGTATCTAATTTTGCTGGATGGCTAGCAAGAAAGTTGAGAATTTTCATTGACATTCATTCACTACACTCACCTGCCTCTTGAGAACAGCAAGGCTCTTAGTGTGCATCGGTGACTGTGGCAGGACCCCGTTAGAAGGAGGAAGCCCAATCAATCCACAAAGCAGTGTCTGGGACCAATTTTTCATGAAAGAGAAAAAGTATTAATTCTTGCTTGAATGTGACAGAAACAAACCTTCATTGATCTTAATATGGTTGTGACACATACCATAAGTCCCAGCAACAACATATCATAATGGTATGCAGAAGGCTTCTTTAGATTGAATTCCTGTTGTTGTGCCAGCTGCGAAGCGACACTATGGTCAAAAAAGTAAAGTCCCGCTACCATCACAGCAGGTATAATAGCAGCAAAGACGTATGCAGGAGGAACCTTCCCCATATCCTGCAACAGATAATGAAAGGAAATACTTTAAACTGCAAAAAATTACAAAAACAACTGCAAAGACTTGATTACTACATTAAGTCTTAGGTCGAAAGCTCAGGTAAACAAAGAGCTTAAACAACAAAATTACAAAATATTAGTTTACCTTCATGACAGTCCAATGGTGTAAAGATGCAGACTCCCAAGCCAGAGGGCTGTAGAGCCTTCTGGGAATATCTGAGGGAACATTGCGTGGTACACTGAATGACAGCGCAGTCCACAGTAGCACCATTAAAGGAACACCATAATCTGCAATGAAACTTCTGAACCTCCCTGGACAACAAAGAAAATATCTTCAAATTCCCCCCCAAAAAAAATTTAATCCTTAAAATAAGAACCAAGTCTCTCAAAAATGTTCTTCACAAACCTGTTGCATACCACCATGACCTTGCTTTTCTGCTCTTCAGAGCAGTATATAGGAGGCCAAAAGTAAATATGACCCCCAGCAGTCCATTTGTGTAAAGCCACGGAAATTGATGTGTCTCTTTCTTTGAATCTTCACCTTTGGGAATTTTGAACTCACTCACTATACCCTTCCATTGAAACGTGAACCTCATGTTAGTTTTCTTTCCATCAGCTGTATTAGATCCAAAATGATCTTATGTTCTATGTGAGACTTACCTTGATAGCCTCTTGAATAAACAAGACAGAAATCAACATGCCAAAAAGTTCGCCTGCAATCCTCGTGAACTTGTTGATTATATCACAAGCATTGAATATTGCAAGAAGAACTAGAAAAAGAGCTGTCCAGACGCAAACCCTGTAAAATTCAGCTCCATAAGGTGAAAATTTATATCGCCTTGCATTACGACTAAGAACATGTATCTTAAAGTTCTGAAACTATAAAACGTTGATTTTTCCATTACCATCCAACCCAAGCCAAATACAACTCGCGTCCCAAATCTTTCCTTCCTTTTGCAAAGTTGTACAAGTAGGTATACATGATGACAGTGGGTTCTGCAACTCCTAAAATCAAGAGAGGTTGCCCACCTAGAATTGAGTGTATTATACCACAAATAGCAGTAGAGGCCAGGGTTTCCACTGTGCTCAAGCTTCCATCTACACAATAAAAAGCCAAGTGAGTTGAAAACCATCAAATGTGTATGTGTCTGTATTATGCATGTTGACATATGGTCAGTCACATACATAAATGATGGAGAATAGGAGCATCCAGTTCATCGTGCTCCAACTCAGACTTTGTGTTTTTCAGTAAGATATATGCCATCTACACATCATATGAGAAATATTGACAAACCTGTATCTCTGCTCAGTTGCTCGCCAAAAGCTATAACAGGAAGAGCTGAAGCAAAGAAGATGTAGGCAGTTGGGGCCAAAATCCTAGCACAATTCAAAGACCAAAAAAGATAAAAAGAGTGAATTAAATCCAAAAACTTTGATTGCAATTGTGCCAAGTAAAATACATAGGAAATCAGTTACCCGATTCCTGAACGAAAACCTGAAGTCCAATCTTGTTTATAGCACAATGCTCTTCCTTTGACATCTTTTGCAATTCCCCTGAATGGAGCTTTGAAGCTCTCCATTTCTGATATAAAAAAATCCAATATATTCCTTAAAAAGACAACTTGAAGAGACTATTTTTTGAAACATTAATTGGGTTGATGGGCAAATCACAAACTCACAGGGCACACAATCTGTGTCTGGTAAGCAAGAAAATAAAGGATTTGGCAAACATGGAAAAGGCCTATTTTTCAATTGTTGTGGTTTTTCTCTTTGACAGTGAAAAAAAGAATATCAAGATAGTTTTTCTTGGCCTGCTAAACTGAAAAAGATGGTTGTATTTGGCTCAGTTGAATAAAGTTTTCTCGTTCAAAAACTCTCCTGATTTTTTCTTCTTCCCTGCATGCATTTTCCTTGCAACCAAACAGAGCATGAACAATAAAATTCTTTCCTTATTCTCACATACATGAATCCAAGACAAGAACCCTTGAAAACCCGCGATTTCATTAGCCTTGAATAGTCAAAACTCTATCAGAACAAGGAAAAAGGGAAAGGAAAAGCACCATTTATTACAATCATGCAATGAATTGAAAGAAACCCAAGAAGGAAAAAAGAAGCCACACATTTACAGACAACAAATAGTTTTCATTTCTTAAAGAAGAAGAAGAAGAAGAAGACGAGAGAGAGAGAGAGAGAGAGAGAGAGAGATGCACCGGAGAGCTTCACCGGCCGGAGTGTTGGGTGGAGATTAAATTGATCAGAAAAATGAGAAGTGTGTGGCTGTCCCACGTGTAATGTGTATTTGGATGAATATGATGAGTGTGAATTGTATGAATATGAACATATGAATGTGTTTAGAGGATTTTCTTTGAGCTACGTTGTTGTTCACTTGGGCGAGTTTATAGTAATGGAGGAGGAGAGAGAAGCAAAGTCCACGTCGTCTTCAAAAGACCCGCCAGAGAGTAGTATGCGGATTCTGCTCTGCCGTGCACCTTCATTTCCATTTCGACTTTTGCTTTGTTTTTTTTCTACCCAATTAATAATAATAATAATAATCCAACCAAAATATGAAAATAACAACTAATATTATTACTTTCACACTTCAGTGTTTAACATCTGGAAAAAGAACATCCACCAATTCACTTGACGACCTATTCATTTTGACTTCTGTAATTAATTTATGTGCAATAATAATTGCAGTGCACTGTGCACAAGAACGGGATGTTTGTGTATTACAATTTCACAATATTAATTGCTAATTAGTGTGTGTGATCTCGGGAATATAAATGTGAATTTGGCTTACGAGACAATAAATACGTATTGTACATTCAAGTATTATTTTAGGGAGCTGATTTCCCCACTCCTCTTTTCTCCACTTACACTCCCTTTTGCTTTTTAATACTTTTAATCAATTTTGTTATTTCTCTTTTCTATTCTATTATTACCCTACATTAATTTGTTTTTTACTTCATTTTTATATTATTTCTTTTTCTTTGTACTTAATTTTGCAATTTATACTTAATTTTTAGTATTAAAGGGAAAAAAAAACTTAATTTCTTACTCGATTAAAGGAAAAAAAAAACTGAAAATGAAGTGCAAGTTGAAAAATTAAGTATAAAGAAAAAGAACTAATATAAAAGTGAAGTAAAATGAAATTAATGTAGGGTAAGGGTAGAATAGGAAAGAAAAAGAACAAAATTGATTAAAAAGTATTTAAAAGCAAAATTGAGTGTAAGTGGAGAAAAGGAGAGTGGGGAAATCATATCCCATTTTATTTGATCAATGGTTTTTTTATTTATAATTATTTATCAAATATAAATTTCGTTAGATAAACTTCAACAACACAATCAAAGATATCAAGAAGACTAGGGGCTCGTTTGGTACACCGTATTAGACTCTAGATATGAGTAAATAGTTCATGTCAGGTGTTTGGTGTCAATTTGTATTATTTAATTATCTGACTATTTTATACGGGTTGAGCTTTTAATACTCTCCTTACCTGACTAACTAATACAACTCACACACCCCGGTTTAGATAATATACACTTAATTATACAAGGTTGTTCTCTCTCTCTCCTCTCTCTCTCTCCTCTCTCTCTCTCTCTCTCTCTCTCTCTCTCTCTCTCTCTCTCTCTCTCTATATTTCCTCTTTTATTAAATCTTTGTGGATATTAGGTTATGAGTTTTTTCTTTGACTTTTTTTTCTTGCTGTATTGGAACAATACATGTGGCTGCGTATCCAACTCAATAATCAAATAATTAAATAATCATCAAGCGGCTGTGTATCAAACTCAATACATGCTGCTAAGTTTTTCTTGCCTTTTTTTCTTTATGTATTTCATCTTCTCCAGGTATCCAACTCAATAATCAAATTATCATCCTAAGCCAGCGATTAGAACAATACTTGCGGCTATGTTTTTCTTGCTGTATTTAAAAATAAACAAAAATTTTGGTGCTTTGTTGGTTTGTTTTCTGGTTATTTCCGTGTTGCTACTGCTGGTTGTTGATTCTCTTCTTGCCTGTTTTCGTTGGGCTTTAATATATTATCTTTTTTTCTTAATCATATATATATATATATATATGCAAATTATATTGTCTATATTTCCACTTAAATTATCAAAGAATTTTTTGTAAAAAATAGTATGATCCGATGTTATGTGGAATAGCACTAAACACAATATAACTTAGTTAGACTATTTATCCAGAACAACACCAAACCCCTTATACTATTATGGATAAACAATCAGTATTCTCCAAAACAGATTAATACTATCCGATAGAAATTAGTCAGTACAATTCGACGTACCAAACGAAACACTAAAGTATCAAATCCCCAAAGGGCAACAAACTAACATGTTAAAAACAAAACTAAGGCAGACAAAAGCCGCACTAAAACTACTAGCTCACATCACCACAATTAACCATAAGCCCAAACAAAGTCTACATACTCAACATAACTGAAACCCTAAAGCAACCCATGAACCTAAACGAACCCTGTCACCACCACCTAAAGAAGTGTCGTCGCATCCGTAACAGATATGGGGAAAACATTGTTTCCAGCGATCTACCTAAGTATAAGAGTGAACAAATAAACGAAAACAACTACCTTGACAAAGAACAATTTGGTGATTTGCAGCAACCTTCATAAAAAACAATGTATACCAAAATTTAGAGAACATAAGCAATGTTAAAGACCAGGTTTTGGGAGAAGGATTTGTTTGAGAATGCCTAAAAAGGGTGATGGGGAACTTCAATCTGAGCATGGCTCAGAAGAAATCACCACAATGAGCTTCTCATTCAAAATGCCCCAGTGGACTTATTCACTAACCAAAAGAAATAGTAAATTTAGCTTTTCCTCTTGAAACTCATTTTTTCTTACTTAGAACCCATCATGTTATTTTTCTGTGAATAAAACCTTAACTTTTATAAGAAAAACCTAATGACTAGGATCCAACTAAGCCAATTACCTAATTAATCTACAAATCTAATTTATTGTAATTTTTAGATTCCAAAATACCCTTCATTGCAGTTTACCTTTTCTCAATTAATTGTGTTGATTTCTTTTTCTCTTTTTTTATTATTATTTAATGAACAACGATAGGATTTTATTAATAAGGAAAATGAGTAACAAGTACAAAAACTACACTATGTCCTAGAGGATTAGGCGAGTACTCTACGCCAAATGAAGCGTAGTGGTCGTCTGCTACCAAAGTAGTGTACCTTCTCAATCGTAAGTGAGAAAAGGAACATTGCCTTCGATAGAGTCTCACACGTCTCCCTAAGAGCATGTCCGTAAAAACTACAAGTTACAATCCTCAAATAAGAGATCGACAATAAAATCCGATGATTCCTCGAACCAACTAACAAAGTTACCAATGTGAGCAGCAAACTTGGCTATACAATGAGCCACACCATTGGCGTTTCAATGGATATGGGTAAAACCTTCTCCAGTGATCTGAGCCAACATAGTCTTCGTATCTCCCACAATTGGCCCTAAGATAAATCGATCAATAGACAAACTGCGAATTGATGACACAATCTGAAGAGCATCACTCTCAAGAAACATTCAAAAAACCCCTTTCAACCACCAATGAAATGCCCATGCGGGTTGCAAGAGCTTCAACACGAGCTGCCAAAAAAACATTCTCGACTGCCATCGCACAGCCAGTAGCAAACTCTCTATCTGAGTCACGAACCACAACACCAAGGCCCCCCACGGAGCTTCCAGGACGCCAAGCACCATCAACATTAACCTTCAGGCATCACTGATGAGGCTTCACCCACTAGACAGACCCTTGAGAGGGTTAGGTATGATAAAGTAATACATTCACAAAACACCCAACAACCCAAGGAAAAAGAGCAAACTACTCAAGACACCCAACATCTGTGCATTACAGCTCATTTGAAGACTAAAGAGCCAGCTCACTCCATGTTAACGTTGAGAGGATATGGATGAATATAGCATATTCCATTTATGTATACTTATTCTAGAGACTTCTTGTATATGAAAAATATACACACATTATAAATATACACAATATGTAAAGAGAAATATTGAGGCAATGAATATAAAATTCTAGTTGAGCAATCTTCTTCCTTTTTCAGAAAACTTCAACCCTTCTTTCTTGTCTCCATAAAGGAATATATCCCTTCTAGTATAATTTCTAACATGGTATTAGTGCCCTAATACCCAATGGTTCTTCTCCTACTCTTCTAGTTCTCTCCTTTCTTTCCAGCATCCTTTTTTTTTCACCTTTTTCAAAAGTTTTTCCTTTTCCCTCATCTATGGACGCCCCCCAAGACACTATCAATCCATTTTCTGACCTCCTCATCATCTTCTTCCACTGCTTCTTCTCCCCGCTACCCACCTATTGTTGCCCAAAACATTTCTTCCCTTGTTCCTGTAAAATTATCCCAAGAAAACTACCTCTTATGGAAGGAACTCTTCCTCCCAGTCCTCCAAAGCTATGACCTGTTGTCTATCATTGATGGATCTGAGCTTTGTCCTCCTCAATATCTAACCACCCAAGAAGGCTCACTCACTTCCACTACAAATCCTGCTTTTGTCCAATGGATAAAACAAGACCGTCACTGCAAAATCTAGATAAATTCATCCCTTTCTGAAAATATCCTCCCTTATACTGTTGGTTCATCCACTTCACGTGAGCTGTGGCTTACCCTTGAAAAACAATTCTCTGCTACCACCAGGTCCTATCTCCTTCAACTTAAGGCCAAAATTCAAACTCTCAAGAGAGGTTCTTTAAGCATGGTGGAATACCTTAGCTAGTGAAAGTCACGGCTGATAGCTTAGTTGCAGCTGGCCCTCCTTTAGATGACATAGACTTTGTGGCCTATGTCTTAAATGGTCTCCCATATGATTATGATTCCTTTGCTACCTCCATTAGGGTTTGATCTGAACCTCTTACCTCTGACGAACTTCATGCCCTTCTTTTGAGTGAAGAAATTGCCCTCAACTCAAGACTCATCTCCTTCTCTGAGCCTACAGCTCATGCCTTTCAAACATCCCTTTCCTCACAACCTCACATTTCTAAAACCAACTCCAACAATCGTTATTCCAACCAAGCTCGCCCCTTTTCCAACTCTTCTCACCCTAACCCAAATCCAAACTCTCGCAACCTTCAACAACCATTTCGTTTTTCCAGACCTCAACACATATCCCATCCTAACCCCAACCATAATCCTAACCCCACTCGATCATTTTTTTCGTCCAAACAATTATTCCACTCCAAGAATTGTTTGCCAAATGTGCAACAAACCAGGCCATGGGGCTCTCACATGCAAAAATTGTCTTAACAGCTCCTGTTAAAGCCACTTTCCCTCTCCTATAACCTTTCACCTTCCCACTCCACAGCTCCCTCTTACCCATCTGCCTCATACACCTCCACAAACCCATCTCCCTCTTACTACTTGATATGCTGATTCTGGAGCCACAAATCACATCACTAATGATCTCAGCAACCTCTTTATTCATTATGCATACACTGGTCCAGAGAAAGTCAATATTGTCAATGGTGACAGCTTAGCTATTTAGAACACAGGTAATGCCACTCTTTACTCTCCAACCTCCACCTTTCATATGCAAAACATTCTTCACACTCCTAAAGCTACATACAATTTACTCTCTGTTTATAAGTTTACAAATGATAATCTATGTGATCTAACCTTCACCCCTTTCTCATGTATCATTAAGGATCATCTCTCGGGGAAAATACTTTTTCAAGGCCCTACTGAAGAAAGTCTCTACCCCATCCACCTCTCCAAAAGCAAGCCTTTTCTTTTCTATCTCAGCACCACCACTGCATCCTATTCTCTTTGGCACAAACGTCTTGGCCATCCCAGTGCAAATGTTCTTCATCACATTCTCTCATCCAACAAGCTTCATGTTCACGGCAAACTCTCCCATCTTCCATTCTGCTCAGATTGCTCTCTAGGAAAACACAAATGATTACCTTTTTCTCATTCTAAATGTAATTCTCAGTTTCCACTTCAATTAATACATTCAGACCTTCAGGGCCCTGCCCCACAGGCATCCTTTTTTTGTTACAAATATTATGTTATTTTTGTGGATCGGTCACGTTTCTCTTGGTTATATCATTTTCAAATCAAAGCAGACACATTAAAAGCATTTCATATTTTTAAGTTGCAAGTTGAAAACCTTTTCAAACATAAAATATGCACTCTCAGAAGTGATAATGGTGGAGAATTCACCAGTCATGCTTTCAAAAACTTTCTTAACTCACATGGCATTTCCCAACAATTTTCTTGCCCACATACTCCACAGCAAAACGGTTTGGCTAAATGAAAGCATAGGCATATCATTGAGCTCACTCAAACACTTTTTGCTCAATCAAATCTTCCTCTTAGCTATTGGGTTGAAATATCTCAGACGACGGTATATCTACTTAATAAAATGTCGTCATCTGTTTTAAACAAAGTCTCACCTCTTCAAAAACTCTTCAATTGTCAACCATATTATCATTTCATGAAGGCTTATGGCTGTTCATGCTACCATTGGTTGAAACCATACACTTCACATAAGCTTTCTTTTCGAAGCTTAAAATGTGTCTTCATAGGGTATGGACTTCAACACAAAGGATACAGATGCTTAGACCCAACTACAGGCAAAGTTTACATTTCTAGACATGTTATCTTTGATGAAACCACATTTCCTTTTCATCATCATTATCATTCCTACATCACCAATGGTGTTCCTAACTCCCTCATATCTCTTTACTTCCCCACCACAAACTCATCCCACAAATAGCCCCCTACCTCCCCTAAACTCTCCTCCACTTACCACAATATCTCATCATATTCCCTACAACCCACACCATGTCTTCAAACTCAATAGATCACTTTATGGGCTGAAGCAATCTCCTAGAGCTTGGTATGAGGAGCTCTACCATTGCTTGTTGGGTATTGGCTTTCATTCATCCACTGTTGACTCTTCCTTATTCATCAAAGCTGATGCAATTCTCACTATCATTCTAGTATACAGGAAATTCATCAACATCTTGCACTCACCTCATCAACACCCTTCCAAGTTCTCTATGAAAAACCTCGATGATCTTCATTACTTTCTTGGCATTGAGGCCCATCGCACCCCCACTTCTATCTTTCTCTCCCAAACAAAATATATTATAGATCTCCTTACCAAAACAAAAATGCTTGATGCCAAGCCTTGTTCCACTTCTTCCTCAACCATTAAGCTTGACACAACCTCTGGTGACCTTATTCAAGATCCTGCCCCCTATCGTTCCCTTGTAGGGGCTCTACAATATCTTAAATAGACTCGCCCTAACATTGCATTCTCAGTGAATCAAGTCTGCCAACATATGCATCAACCAAGAACTCCTCACCTCACTACCGCCAAACGCATCTTGCGATATCTTAAAGGTACACCACAACAAGGCCTATCTTTCACCAAAGGTTCCATAACTCTCACAGCTTTTTCAGATGCTGACTGAGCAGGTTGTCCAATTGATAGACGATCCACCACTGGTTATTGTGTTTTCCTTGGCACTAACCTTCTCTCTTGGAGTGCAAAGAAACAAACCTCCATTGCACGCTTCTCTATCGAAAGTGAGTATCGTGCCCTCTCTCACACAACTGCTGAAATCACATGGTTGTGTTCTTTGCTCAAGGATCTTCACTTCTTCCTCCTCAAACCTCCTCTCTTGCTTTGCGATAATGTTAGTACTCTTGCCCTCTCTCAAAATCCCATATTTCATGCTTGCACTAAACACATTGAGATCGATTATCACTACGTTCGTCAACTTGTCACAAGTAACTCCATTTCCATTAGTCATGTCTCCTCTCACCACCAAGTTGCTGACATCTTTACCAAAACTTACCAAAGGCCCAATTTCAACATCATTGTTTCAAGCTCATAACTGCTTCACTGCTGCTTAGCTTGAGGGGGGATGATAAAGTAATACATTCACAAGAACTCCTCACCTCACTACCGCCAAACGTATCTTGCGATATGTTAAAGGTACACCACAACAAGGCCTATCTTTCACCAAAGGTTCCATAACTCTCACAGCTTTTTCAGATGCTAACTGGGCAGGTTGTCCAATTGATAGACGATCCACCACTGGTTATTGTGTTTTCCTTGGCACTAACCTTCTCTCTTGGAGTGCAAAGAAACAAACCTCCATTGCACGCTTCTCTATCGAAAGTGAGTATCGTGCCCTCTCTCACATAGCTACTGAAATCACATGGTTATGTTCTTTGCTCAAGGATCTTCACTGCTTCCTCCTCAAACCTCCTCTCTTGCTTTGCGATATTGTTAGTACTCTTGCCCTCTCTCAAAATCCCATATTTCATGCTTGCACTAAACACATTGAGATCGATTATCACTACGTTCGTCAACTTGTCACAAGTAACTCCATTTCCATTAGTCATGTCTCCTCTCACCACCAAGTTGCTGACATCTTTACCAAAACTTGCCAAAGGCCCAATTTCAACATCATTGTTTCAAGCTCATAGCTGCTTCACTGCTGCTTAGCTTGAGGGGGGATGATAAAGTAATACATTCACAAGACACCTAACAGCCCAAGGAAAAAGAGCAAACTACTCAAGACACCCAGCAGCTGTGCACTACAGCTCATTTGAAGACTAAAGAGCCAGCTCACTCCATGCTAACGTTGAGATGATATGGATGAATACAACATATTCCATTTCTGTATACTTATTCTAGAGACTTCTTATATAGGACAAATATACACACATTATAAATATGCACAATATGTAATGAGAAATATTGAGGCAATGAATATAAAATTCTAGCTGAGCAATCTTCTTCCTTTTTCAGAAAACTTCAGTCCTTCTTTCTTGTCTCCATAAAGGAATATATCCCTTCTAGTATAATTTCTAACAAGGTAGACTTGGGTTGACGGGTATTAACCTTTAAGAACTCAAGTTGGCAAGTGAGAGCGTTGTTACACACTTATACTCTCCTAAACTGGTTTGGTGTAAATTAATATTTACTTTTTTCAACTAATTTGGTGTAATTTAATGTTTTTTTTTCAACCAGTGACAATTTAATGTTCTTATGTGTTTCTTTTACAATCAATTTAGTTTCTCTATGTTCTTTGGGCGGTGGATTTTTTATTTTTTGGCAATATATTCAATTTTCATTCCATCAATTGTCACCAATTCTCTTTAATTCAAATTTCGTTTATAGATTAATGTACGCATTCTTTTAAATTTAAAATTATTATGTACCTATTTAAATTGTATTTTTTAAAATAATTAAATCATTGTACTTAAAAATATAGGTAAATTAATATACATAGTCTTAGCAAAGAACAAAAATAATTCTAGGTAAATAATTTACTTATATAATCTAGGTAAATTAGGGGCCCGAAAAATATAGGTGCATCTATATATATAAAGCAAAAGCTAGAGAATAGTTAAACATTCAAAATATCAGAAAATGTCATTGGTTAATACAAAGAATTGAAATTATTAATTAAATGATGATAATATGGTAAATTCATACTTTTTCATATTTAAAAAATTAAAATTAAAAGAAAATCCAGATAATGGATCCTATTTTTATGGAAAACAATTCATTATCTTTTTTAATTCTAAAATAAATTTTAAATTAAAAAATAAAAATAAAAATAAAAAATAAAAACCTCTCGCAGGCGCAGAAGCGCATGCAGAGAGGCTAATATAGATAAATAGTGAACCTATATAATATAAATGTAAATAATGTACCTATCTTAGTTTATAAAATACCTATACAATCTAATTCAATAATTTACGTATATGCATTACTAGTAATTATTTACCCATGTATTGCCCTATTTTGTAAATAATTTCTCTGAACAATCTGATTAAATATTAATATAACTACAAAATATTTGACAAAAGAAATATACCTACAAAACACAGGTGAATTACCTAGTAAATTATTTACTATGTATCCCTATAATTTTCCAACGGACAATTATCTAATCAATATATAAATGCTAAAAATCATAGGTGCCCAAATAATAGGTATTAAATATAAATGCTAAAAACCAAGGAATTTTTATTTTATTTTTATGGGAATGCTATGAGAACGTTACAGTGTTGACAAGTATGAAGATGGCATAAATTGTAAATGTTTTCTATTATTAGGACAACTATTAACTACATTCAAATTTGGGTTTTAAAAAAAAATAAAGGTTGAAAGATAGGTGAGTTAAGTCTAGAATATAAGAGTTAAAAGAGCCTATGTTTTATGGTGCGTTTGGATGGGGGAAATAAACTTGGGATTTTAACAAAACTCGGAATTTCTAAATTGCCATGAACCAATTCCGGTATTTGGATAAAAAAACATAAAAACTTAGAAATTCCGCGTGGAAAAAAACATGGAATTTGGAGATCATAAATCCCAAGTCTAAATTCTATCTAAAAGTCGTCATTTCTAAAGTCCCAAGAGAGATTGAGTTTTAAAAAAAGATAACTTTACAATTAAAGGTTAAATTCTGTGTTTTAAATCAATCACCCAAACAAAAAACTTTACAAATTATAGAACATTAATTTCCCTCATTTTAAATTCCGTTATTTATGAAATCCTTTGTGCTTTTAAATTTTCTCATCCAAACGCACTGTTAAGAAATAATAAAGTGGTATTTCCCAGTTACTTCACCAACATTAGCAAACATGGTAAATACCACTTTATTATTTCCTCTTCTTCCATTTCTCATCCTTTAGGAAATGGCATGAGAAATGATTTATCATCAATTTTTTTTTCTATGAACCAAACGGGGCCTACAAGTATAAAATATCAATGAGTATATGAGGGAAACATCATTAAAGCCAGAAAAGATGTAGCAGACCTAACCCCAATTACAAGTAGACCTGTTAATGGAATGGATTTTGATTTGAATCTGGTGTAATTAATAGGAGATAGGTTGGACTTCTGAATCCGATAATCCAAGTACAATTCGAATCCGATAATCCAATTATGAATGGATCCATATATGGATTATAGTTGATCTGATCTGATAATAATCTGATCTGACTTAGTATGAAGTATAATTTAGTTTTTATATTCTTAATATTAATATTTTATATGTGTAAATGAGTAATTTTAGTTTTATATGCACTAAGAATACACTTAAAACTAATTTTATGATAAAATATCAAAATTTGATATAAAAGGTAGATAAATACAATAAAAGAACGAGACTACTAATGAAATTTTGATTTTTTGTACATCTCAAAATAAATCCAATAATAATCCAATTCTTAACATATATGGATTGATAGGTGTAGTCCGATAGTCCAGATACGATTTGAATTCGATAATTCAATTATAAATGAATTCATATTTGAATTCAGGTATGTCTTATCCGAATCCAATACGTATACACCCCTAATTACAAGCATCCTCAATTTAAACATCATTATAAAAATAAAAAAAATCATATTATTTCCCATATGTATACAATTGAAACGCTTACTAATTAGGGAGTTTCACTAAAACATCCAAAATGGGGGCTGAAATTATAAAAAAACCCAACACCCAAAACACTTTATAAACACACCCAAAACTCATCATTACACACACTCAAAACCCATTTATAAACACACCCAAAAAATATACAATTGTTGATTTTGGGTGTGTTTCTATGTTTAAATAGTGCTTGGGTTTTTTTATAAATACATGTCTAGGATTGAGTTTATTTATAAATTTGTATACTAATTAATCCTACGACAATCCAATAAGTCAACTTCCCTTGATTTAGAGATTTTTGGGCAATAATTTTTTCCATTTTACAAGTTGGGCTTCCTTGTATTGTCATATTCCCACTAGCTTCTGTTGATTCGTGAACTCCATTGTCCTTATCTAAGGATTTAGATGGAATCACCAAAGTTAGGAGCTCCTGAGATGGCTCCACTTATTGAAGAAGAAGAAGAAAAGAAAAGAAAAAAAAAAAAAAAAAAAATTTTAAAACGAACTGTAATTGTGGACCTAATTGGCTTGGACTATCTCCATCACTATCATATCAAATGCTGTCTTAGTCATTTAGTTGTATTCAACGGACCTATATATATTTTTGAAGTTCCAATGTGAAAATATTGTGGAGTTATATTTTTATCAAAACTAATGTCGACGTGGAGAAAGACCATTTACATACCTCATTTTTCGAACTCACACCTCACCCATAGACAAAAGGAAAAAAAAACAAAAAAAGGGTCAGCCATTTGCTACCTAATTACCTAAACTTCTCTTTCATATGTATTAAAATTCACTTTCGTGACAGAAGGAAAAAATAGGAAGAAGATTATGATCATATGGCATGCATGATGCACCACCACTTGACTTGATCAGCAAGAACATTCAAAGAAAGTGATGTTTGCGGAGGCACAGAGCATCCTTGTCATGTCATGTCATGTCAATTTCTAAAGAAATAACAAAAGAGATGTTAATGCTTTGGGTGTATGCATCTGCAAGCTGGCAAGTTCAAAAGGCAAATTAGAAGTAAAAGACTGGTTTTGGAGCTGGTGCAACAGACATCACCAAAACTTGCGTATATATGATTTCTTCTTAGAAGAATGGAGGAGGTAAGGCTGAGAGAAAAAAAAAGGTTCTTGCATCACATGATTTATGTGTCCATTAAATTGGGATTGACTTTTAAATTTCAAAAAGTTTTCATGTTTTGGGTTGGCAAAATAGTGCATTGAAAACTTGCTTTATTTTGAGGTGGCATCATCTTTTGTGTTTTTCGAATTTGATATATTTACTAACAAAGTGAAGAAAAAAAGTTTTTCTATTTAAACACGACACTTTTCTTTATTTATCCCAATATTTAAATCATTATACTCTTAAAATTTTCCTATTTGGGATTTGACCCTCTGCTATTTGGAATTTAAAAAAATAATAATAAAATAAAAACTAGTAAAGTATGACCACCACCTTATTTTCCCATTTTGAAATATGGAATTGGAATATGAAATTATATTGTATATAATATTAATTTGTTAGGTGGATCAAATTGACATATAATTTTGATTTTTTGTAGTAAGATGTTCTGGTTGCCTTTTGTTCATGTGTTTACTAATACCATCTCCAGTAGGATATTTATCCATCCTTCTTCCTAATTGATTCTTAACTTTTAAAAAATAATGATGCTACACATTTGACAACATTGTTTTTATCTCTTTAAAGAATGTGAGGTTGAGTTGAACTTAGAATGGTGAGGGGCAAGATAGCGGGGGTGTGGGGTATGAGGTTGATGAGCTTTTTATTTTTATTTTATTGCTGAGTGTATATTTAGGGGTAGTTTGGGAAGAAAGTGAGGTTTTCTTAGAAATTGTGAATATTTAAATTAGAAGTTGAGGCGAACTTAGAATATGAGGTGAATAAAAAGACGTGCGGGATTTAAATAGAAAAGCTCAAGAAATATATACTATAGATAATGATAAATGATGAATAGATGAAAAAAAAAAAAAATAAAAAATTTTTTTTTTTTATCTGTAAAAAAAAAAAAAAAAAAAAAAAAAAAAAAAAAAAAAATAATTTTTTTCTTTCAAAATATGTGGTCACATTTGAGTGGAAGATGCATCAACTGACGTGGTATATCCGTATTATATAATTGCTCATATTATGAAGTACAAACTAGAGGAGTAAGTACCAATTAACATTTAGTTTTTTTATTTATTTATAATAAATACAAACAATATTGAGGGAGGAGGAAATTGAACCTATAAGATACATAGGATAAGTACTCCTAACAACTTGAGTTACAAACCCCTTTCTAATTAATATTTAGTTTAATGATATATTTCTTCACAATGTTAAAAGATCTCCCACGTTTTAAAAATATAAAATAAAATAATAATAATAATAATAATAATAAACTAGTGGAGTAATTGCGGATTTCTAATAATAGCCGCTGGATTCAATGAATGGCTGGGATTTGTTTGAAAAGCCAAACTGATTTCGCCAAAGAAGCATCTTGCTTTGCCTTCCCTCAGTGGGTCTTTCCTTGTTTTCACTATTGCTTCATAATTTACCCTCTTTTGCTTTATTCTTGTGCGAAAATTGGAATTGCTTTTCCTATTTTCCAACGTACTGTCCTTTTTTTTTGGAATTTTCCGAAAAAGAACTGGTGCGGGCCAATTGAGAGTCACCACTCAGAAGTAGACTGATTTGGGGAAGAAAAGAAATGGGTCTTCAGTTGGTGGGATGGATCAAGAAATGACCAAATAAAAGGTTGTGTTTTAGTACCAATCCCAACCATTCATTGAGCATCAGATCCCATTAATTTGATCACATAAATAGGTAAGTGTTACTTTTCCCATTTTCCAAAGCCTGCTTTTTGCAAAATAGTCTTCCAAAGGGAAACATCCGGGAAAAAACTAGACCAATGCCACTTGAATTACAGGTCAGCTGACAAAGCCTGCTTTTTGCACGTAACTCACACGTGACACTCATTTGAAGGGTAATTTTATGTTCGAAATATCGATAGAATTTTGAAAAATAAAGATGAAATTAGTCATAGTTGGCACATTGAAACAAAATTCTTATTCAGCGCAAATTGATTCAGTTTCTTTTCGGGTGTCAAATTGCAACAAGGCTTATAGTTAAGGTAACATTGGTGTAACTTTCCCAACCGTTTAACCCTAAACCCATGAAGCAACTTTGAGTGAAAATCTATGTGCCCTATAGCGAAGGTTTGCAACTGTCTACCCTGTAGGCTGTAGCAATATGGGGAAGACAGATGAGACCAAGAAGCAACCATCTGGCACACATAAATGTGTAAAAATGAATATGATTATATGACAAGAAAAGAAAAACTCAAAAGTGAATCCTGTCAACATGACAATGCAAAATTAGCAGATTAGCCATGAATGGCAAATGGGTATATTTAGGCATCAGAATGCTCTCATCTTGTAGTGAACAAAGTTGTTGCACAAGTGAACCATATCACATGAATTTGATACTAACATATCCTTCAAAGGTTACAAAAATTAGGTATGATATGACTGACAGATTTACACAAACCTCAAGTGTACGTTGTCAGGAAATTACACAAAAATTATATGTGGGCAGGACCTTCTAAGCTGTCCAATTTTGGGGCACCCCTTGTCTGAATCTACTGTAATCCACAAAAACACAATTTTCTCCTGCAAAAATATGACCAATAAATTAGTATTATCAATAAACAGCCACACAAAAATAATTTCTGCTAAGGATGTGAAAGCTTACCAAATGTATCAATGAAATGCAACGCCTAGCTAATTACAAATTAGTTATAGCTTTCCTAGCTTCTCTAATCTCCTCCATTTGTTTCTGCAGATTTTAGAAAAATAAACTATAAAGAACCATTCCCTAATATTTGTGAGACATGCACATATATAATGTGTAAAGTCCTCAATTCGTGAACAATGATTAGGAAAATCTGAAGCACCTCATATAAATTCTTCCAGCATGCATCTGACTTTTCCTGTTGTAAACACCATTCCAGAGCCATATCGTACTCAATTGTATTAGGTTGGGAACAGTGTGATGTTGATACTGCGTTTCTCTACAAACGAAACAAGAAGAAACACTCAAAGAAAAAATCTATATGATCAAATACAGTAAGCTTCTATGAAGGGATCCCCTAAATAGGGTTAATGGAGAACCGCATTGTTGTTGTTGGGTGCACTCTACATGTGCCCAACAAACATTGAAATGATCACAATGTAATCCAAAAGCAAAAAATAACTCAGAAAGATTACCATCCCTTCACGTTTACTTTGAAGCCTGACTTTGGCAATGCTCAGATGTCCAACAAATCTGGCTGTTTTGTCAGGCCCTTTTAGACTTCTTCTGATACCTATGACAGGTCTGAAAATGCAAAGCCATATATACTATAAGATCATCTTGAGTGGAATTAAATCATTTCATAATTTGTACCAATTTAAATGCTTTAAGAAACAAAATCCCTGAGTGATAGAAGGAAAAACGACTATCACATACCTTTTACATTTAATTGTTTGAAATCGCTTTTATCCATAGCAGTAACTAATTTGCATTTGATACTTTTTACAATGCTATTACGCTAGTGATTCTCATCACCCATGCTAATTTAAAATTTGTCTTTTTTCACCTAGAAACTAAATTACTAAAGTTCACAACATAATTACATGTAATTTTGAACACTCCAACCAAAAAGAAAAGAAAAGAGAAATAAGCATGCTTCATGACTGTATAATGAAAGGTAATAAACTACCTCCAATTTCCCGAAACCAGGCATCTCCCGTTTAATTCAGATATTACACGGTCAGCAGTAATCTTTGACTTGAATATAACAAAAGCCTTGCCTATAAGGCCATGATAAGATAAATGTAATTAGTCCACAAATAAGTTTCAGCTTCAAATACAATGGCATTAATGATCTACCACCAAATAAAACATGCAATGCAATCATTTGAAAAATAAGTAAAGATCCCCAAAAAGCTGTTGTACCATATTGCGGAGTAGAAAAAGTACTGTATTGTATCATTTTTGCCTCAACCTTTTCGCGAAATGCTTTCCAAACTAGAGCCTGGGAAGAAAAAACGATGTAGATTAAACAGAATGTCTAACACTAGGCCAGACTACTTTGGCCCTATAACTTCTTTTTCTTACTTCATTCAGGGTAGTTGATTCCCATATAGGGCATGTTTGGCGATGCTTTTGGAATTTCTAAAGGCGCTTTGACAGCATTTGGCATGATCACTTAAGATGTTTGTAGGTTATAAAGCACTTTGTAGTGCTCTCTAGAGAAGCACCCAATAGGTGCTCCAAGAAGCTTTTCCAAGTTCATTTCCAAGAAGCACTTAGTATCTTAATAAAAAAGTTATGTGCTTCCTGCAAAAGCACTTACGAGGAGATGTGCTTCCTACAAAAGCATCTTCAAAGAGGCCCCTAATTTGGTGGTGATGGAGTATAGATCCTTTTATGTGAGAATTTAAAATGATATAATGCAGCTTAGAATAAACTGGTTTTCATTTGCATCAGCATTTCAATGAATTTCTTTAAATATCCTATAAACTTTTATTTTATATGCACCAGGAAATACTACCTCTACTTCTGATGATGCATAGGATGGATCCAGATTGTCTAGTAAAACCAAATGGCCTGCATCTTGAGCTCTCTGCAGTTTTTCCTCCCAAGACTGCAAAATTGGAAATGGATGGTTAAGACTTCCATATGCCTAGTAAACCTGACTTTTCTTTTGCCTTTTATGTTGGTTACTTATTAATAAACCTTCATATAGAAGAAGGGTACATGTGGAGAACAAGAGTAGAAGGGAGAGAGGGAGGCAGCCAGGTATTAAAGCTTTGGTTTTGGGAGGACTACTGTCCAGAACTCCTCATCCTCCATTCCACAGTTAATTTTAATTCTATGCTAATAAAAGATAATACTTTCCTTTTACCCATAAGTTGAAAGACAAATGTATTTGTACCTTTACTTTATTTGAGTATTCACAGAACATAAATGAGCAATGAATAAATCAAGAAATCTAAACAATACACAAAAATTGATTCCAGAAACCATATTTAGAACAATGTATACTAGTATACAAAGACAAAGCTTGAGCATATTGGCGCTTTAAAAACTGAGTGTCTAAAGAAAATTTAGAGATGGAACCTTATTAAGAGTTCAAAGTTAGTATAAAAACATTTTCTTTGAACTTAAGTTAATGAGGATGTTGAGAATGATAGGGATGATTTGATAAGACAAAAAAAATTAAAATTGACCTTCCTTAGGAACTATTCTAATTTGGTGTTACCTGCAACTCAGCCAATTGACACATGGTTTCTCTTTATTGTTTTATAATTTCAACTTTTACTTTATCTTGCAAAATTCAACCATTAATTTGTACAACCAATCAAACAACAATTGGGAAAGTCTACGAAAGATATTGAGGAATAGAAACTCACTGGTTGCTTGAACCAACTTCTTTTATCCTGCATTTAAAATAAAATAAAAAACAATTAAAGTCAGAACATTAACCAAAACAGAACTTGTGAACAGCTTGTGTAAATGTGTGTTTGGAGTCATACTCAGTTACCTGTTTATCTTCTAAAGTTCTAATGAATAGACAAAATAGGAACACGAAAATGAAATTATAGTAAAATCAAGAACATAGATCAAACTCAATATGTTAAAAATATAATGAACATTTCCAAGATAGAAAAGTAGGAAAGGAGGAAAATGTAGCTAACAATACTTAGACTTACAATATCTGGCTTCTTTCTAGAAGCATCCCCCTTAGTGAAAGCTACACCATCTGGCTTCTTTCTAGAAGTATCCCCCTTAGTGAAAGCTACACAATCTGATGCACTTATATGTGGTTGATCAACAAATCTAACTTTGTGTCTTTCTTTATCTTGACCGTGTGATATTCTAGCAGACTGAGTCCCATTTCCATCAAGAGCAAGTTTAAGTCTTAACATCTCATTTGAAGCACATCCTTGCTCCCCAATACCAACCATTGACTCTTTCGATTCTGGACACGACAAAAAAAATCATATTTACATCTAATCAGTCAAATTGCACATGCAGAGGTGGAATTCTCAGAAATAACCTCTCACTACAGGGCCTATTCAGCTGCTGGACTTACTATTTTTAACTGGAGAGGCCTTCGCTTCGTCCAATTCTAACTTGGAAGGCACATTTGATGGTCCAGCTGGGTCTGTCAAATTTGTCTGGAACTTGGGGAGCCTGAAGAGCTGTTGATTGTTTCTCTTGTTAAAAAAGCACTCCACTGCATTGCAATCAAAATATTTGAAGACCATGATAGATATTAATGTCCACTAAGAAAAAAAGAAAATATAAGAAAGGTTATAGTAGTTGTCATTGGGAGACATGAGTACATGGTAAACATTACACTGTTGTAAATAGTGCTCTCAAAACTTTAAATAAATATATCCTCAGTTTTGTTTTAAAGAAATTCAATCTGATATTTAAACAGTTATTAAATGCACTTCAGGTCGTTTTTGAATCTCTTCAGCTTTCACTACATAGTTCCATAGACCTTGCATGACATGTAGCCAATTTTCATCAGGATCTCTCGCATCAGTTTGCTTTAATTGATATCATATCAAGAGAGTAATAAATGTTTTGATTTGTTTGGAGGATGAATCTCAATATTATTTGGTTAGAAATTAATTCTCGAGGCCATTATCTTTGTTTATACAAGAAAGAAGTAAATACACGGTAGCACATCTTCTACAAGTGTCTTTTCATCTCTCTCAACTACTACCTAATCTGTCAACAAGTTACTCAGTTTTACTGCACATTGCCTTATGACAACATGGGTTTGAAAGTGACAGTAGCATCCTGAAGCCCTGATGAATTTTCTAAAATTTTAGCAGAGAAGCCATGATGAAGTTTCTTAAGTTTTCCTTATCTAGCTGCTCAAATTTTCTTAATTCTACATGAAGCCGTGATGAGTAACTAATGAGCATGCATAAAAGTGTTCTACTTTAAACCTAAACTATGGCAACTCTCGACAGTAGCCTGTTTAAGTCCCAGAACAATAGGAAAAAACTGCTACAGATCAATAAATGATAGAAAATACTCACAAAATCGAGTGGCAATTTCTCAATTCTTAGAGAACAGGGTAAACGTGTCTAATTGAAATTTAACATCCTATATCTGTTAAAAGCGGCTATACCAGAAAGCACTCCACTGACAACTTCCAGATGCAGATGACTGACCTTTAATTCCACTTATTTCATCTGGAAAGTTCTCCAATATTTGGCGCTTTCCTACATCAAAATTATGAGAGAAAATGTAACTAGCCATTCTCAACTCTTCTTCAGATGGCTGAGGATTCCTCACATCCTTTGATGTGCAGACAACATTGCATTTTTGAACTATTGCTTCCTGAAATTTGTATTTGAAAACTTGTCATGTGAAAGGATTTTAACATAAACATGAGGACGCCTTGTTAACTATTATGCATGCAGGAAAAGACTTATAGAACTTCAGAGAAAGTTTGGTATTCTATAAAGCTTTCAATTGAAATAGGAAAACACTAATACATTGATCTACAGGAAGTAGGCTCATTACTGTCATGGAAATGAAAAGGAAAATTATTTAACCATATAAACATTTATTTCATTGGCACTGTCCTATGGATACATCATGCATGGAAGGATCATTTAAACTTCCATGTCTACTAGTTTATAACACGCACGTTAACTAACAACTTCCGTTACCGGATATAGATATGTTAAATTACTCCACACCAGCAATGCATGAACACCACCTTATCCAATGACTATGCAGTCATACTAAATGATCAGTCCTCTTTTCTATAGCTCACCTCATACCAAACTAAAGATTAGTCCTTTTTCCTATAAGAACCACAAATTCTATTAACAAAGAAACATCAAATCCAGGTTAAAATCCTCAAGCAAAAACACATATTATTTCAAATTAAAATCACAATGAATGACACTAAAAAGAATATCACTAAGATATTTAGACAAAGATGCCCGTAGAGAAGCTAAGAAAACATATTATTCTTCAACTCCTCTTTCTTTTTAATTAACACTGAATAACCATGCAATAGACACTACTTCAATGAGGGGTGAGAATATAAACTTGACATGATTAAATTTATCTCTAATTGAACCTAAATTACCAGAGGATTGACATTGGAGAGGCCTTGACCCACACCAGAAGCTAAAAGTATCTCGTTCCGGCATGGTTTCCAATCACCCAAAAAGTTATGTATATCCGGGGGACGAAAAAACCACACAACCTTTATCTTCTTTTCATGGTCCTCTGTGTCATATATTTCCACAAGCTTACCGATATCAGTCTCACAACATCCACTTCTGTAAAAATGTACACAATCATACAGCGAGTATTCCATGCCTTCCAAAGTGAATGACTCGTAGAACTGGACACGTTCCACTTCCCCAACTCCACCTTTCTTACCCCAGTTAAAATAATCATCTTCCATATTTGTCTCTTCCAACCCTACCATTGTTTCTTAGCCCATCCAATAGTCTTTGAGAACCTAATATTAAGAAAACAGTAAATTACTTTATCATCTATGAGCATAGTAGAATTTCAAACCAGAGAAGCAAAATAAACCTAAAAAAATACTGTAAGCTGTAGTCAGAAAACAAAATGGATCACAGCTCAGCAGGCAGAATCAAATATTTTGGTTTCTGACTACAGCTCACAAAACTGTAGTCAGAATCAAAATATTGTAAGCTGTTGTTGCAACAAACCCTTTTACAAAGTTTTGACCCAAGAATCAAAAGGCAGCTCCAAGATCACTAATACAAGTTTAGAGGTTTACAAATTCCAGATCCTCCTGTGTGTTCCATAACTCATCTACCAATGTCGCCTTTAGTTGAAGAGATTTGCTAGGAAAAAGCAGAACGCTGAGTAAAAACCCACCACTAACATTCCCACAAACAAAAAAAAAAAAAAAAAAAAAAAAAAAAAAACACATTTCCATACACAAAAAAGAGACATTGATTGGGTGCTAATTCAACTTAGGCGAAAATACATGAGCAGCACGACGGATTCTAGGGTAAACAAAGCACAATGTGAAACAGAGCATCCATGAAAAAAGAAAATTTTGAAGAAAAAATAAGAAGAAGAAATGCATACAAAAGAAGAGAAAACGAAAAGACAAACCCCTCTGGGTACTATGTGAAAGCAAAAAAGAAAAAGAAAAAGAAAAAGTTGAAAACCTCATGAGCCGGCCACAAACAAAAGTTGAGCTAGCTCTTGTTGAAAACTTGGAGAACAAGTTTATAATGAGATACATACCTCAAATATTGATGATCAAAGAAACGAGAGAAACGCCATTTTCGATTTTGCTTGCAGTCAAGGGTTTCAGTGTGTTGGTTTTGAGTAAAGAAAGAAAGAAAGTTCCAGAGAGAGAGAGAGAGAGAAGAGGAGGAGGAGTAGAAACAACTTAATATGTTGCAGGAAATGCTAACCTGGTGAGGAAAAGAAAAAAACAGTACGAAAACAACTTAATATGCCGCAAGGAATGCTAACGTGCGCCGGTTGCGTTCGGCGCATCCACCCTGCAATCAGTTACCTCCATTTCTTTGAACGAGGCATGTACTGCGAGAATTGCTGAAGTGAGGGCGCGAAGGGAAACGACGGAGACAGAGGTCGTCCATGTCTCACGCGGTTGTTACTGAATTGACCTCACTCTCTTGTCCTTTTTCTTTTGTAAAGAGCGTTGGGAATGTGAAGTGTTGCACGCGCCTAGGATGTGATTATTTGTGGGTTGCATGTAGGTCTTAGGTTTCACGTACAGACTGTACTGTTATAATAGCGATTTTGAAGGCAAGCGACTGATTTTTATTTTTATTTTATACAAATGATATTTAGGAAGATGAATAGAACCTAGAACATCATGTGCATAAAGTAAAGTAACCTAAAACATTATGTGCATAAAGTAAATATAATCACTTGAGCTACAACTATAAGCGCCCTCGTATTCAAAAGCAAGTGATTGTTTACGTTTTTCAAATGGAAATAGATATTAAATAATGAATTAATTACATTTTTGGACACTGAAATTTGGTTCGAAATCAAATTTGGTCACCGTAATTTTAATTTTGGAAAAAAATATTTGAAGCTTCATGGTTATGAAGCTTTTGGAGGTTTATGATCATAGAGATGAAGGTTGGGCATGGCGATGCATTGGTTTGCGGGACGGTTTGGCTTTTCCACTTATTTCTTTTCCTTTGTTTGTTGTTTTTTATAATGTGGGTTGGTGTTTTGAGTTTTGTTGGGTTTTGTTGTGACTTTTTGGTTTGTGCTTGTTTTAAGAAATGTAGTTTTTTTTTTCTTTCCATATTTAAGAAATGTAGTTTCACTTTTATAATTTATAGGAAGTTCGAGTCTTGTTTGATTTGTTATAAATAAACTTTCAGTATGTTTCTAAAGTCTGTTAATACCTTACTAAACAAATTTCCGAATTAGCTTATTTTGCTTGCATACATTGGAGGTGCATTCAAGACACTAATTGATGCCTTAATAATTTGCTTATCAATTAACGTTTGATGTGAGAAAGATGAAGCGGGTGTGCACCCTTACATCCTATTTGATTCGCATATTGAAATTCCTAGAAATGAAATTATAATGTCTAATCCTATGATATAAGAATGGTAAAAGTTCATTCCCATGTTTGGAAACTATGAGAAATAAGGCCAGGAAATGTCATTTTCTCTCATTCCCATGTCTGTTTGTGCAATATTAAAAAGTTCTTCAATTTTCCAACAATACCCTTGATGGGAAGTTCCTACCCATAAGTTAGGTTTTTCATTCCCAATGGTGCGTTTACCAAACAAGGGAATGCAATTTCATACTTATTCCCAATGTCCTAAACCATGAACCAAATAGGCTGTTAGTTTTAATTCAAATATTCAAATTGCGTGACTTATTTGGAACATAATTTCTTGTAATAGTATGGGTAAATTGTCATTTTTCATTGGCCAAAAAAATGTCATTTTTCCACTTCACAATTTCCTGATTGTCAATTTTTTCCTTAATCTTTTTATCTTCCCTCAAAATTTAAGTTCCAAACTTTGTTAAATAAGCCAATGTGAGGTTTACCGTTAGTGTGCATTTGGTTCATAGGAAATGGGGTTGGGATATGGGAAAATAGGAGGAACTAAGGCCAACATTAAATGTATCTTTTTCACAACCATTTTATTCCCATTAAAATTTAGAATTACAATATATCATTAAATGTATTATTATTTAGTTCATATTACTTCTAACATTGATAATTAAATAAATTTTGTTTTACATTCCTACATAAATCATATATGGAACAAGAAATAAAGTGGTATTTCTTAGTTAGTTTCCCATCATTATCAAATATGGGAAATGAATATTTCTTGTTTTTTTGTCAAAAAAATGAATATTTCATTTCTCATCCTTGAGAAAAAGACATGAAAAAATGATTTCCCATCAAATACTTTCCGCAAACCAAACGGGACTTAGTTTTTTAGAATTCCATCCAAATAATTGTCAAAATGATTTCTCATCCCCTCGTTATAGCATTTCCGCAAGTTCACCTGGCGCAAGCTCTAGTTGGCCTCACCCCCCACACTCAACCCGAGGGCTTTAACCACACAACACCTTGTTTTGAAAGATATTTATTGAGTAAATTTAGGTCTTAGCCAAAAATTTATTGCCTATAACGTGATTTACAACCACCATTTTCAATCATAGGTTAATACCAACTTAAAATTCAATCCTAGATTTTCAATAACCATTTACAATCCTAGGTAAATTGTATATCATATATTCACAATGTAGGGTATAATACATATAAATTTATTTGTAGTCCTTTTTTCAATAGTACGTGAAAAATGCAGATAAAATACCCAAATAATGCATGTATTATTTCAAAATATTAAAAGAAAGTGTATAATAGGAAAATAACAGGGCGGCCATCCCACATTTTGGCCTTAGGCTGCTTACAAATAATAGGAAAATGGCATAGCATCTCTCCAAACATACTCAGTCAAAGAGAGAAACATTTTGATCAAAACTTTCATACTAAATTCTTCAACATGGAAAGCGGCATCAAACATCTTTAAGTTAGTCATTGTAGAGTTTTTTTATTTTTATTTTATTTTTAAGACAAGTCATGGCAGAGTTGAGTAATTACTGGTAGGCTTGCATTAGGGAACCACCAAGCAAACTTTCCCTTTTTGGCTTATTGATAGCCAATCAATTTTATAGCAACGTAATTACATTGCCTCCCATGTTTGAAAAAGAGTTTAAAGTAACCACCAAGAGTGACCCAGTGGTTTGTCCGCCATTTGGGTAAGGCTATGGGGTTCAACTGGGTTTGCTCTCCAATTCGAGTCTCAACTGTTGCAACATCTAGTGGCCAACGGCAGGCTTAGTTTTGCAAGTGGGGATTAGTTGAGATGCGCGCAAGCTGGCCCGGACACCTCATGGTACTTACCCCAAAAAAAAAAGGTTGAAAGTAGCAACATCTCAAAATCCGCCCAAAATTTATATGGCTCAACTTGCACTATAAAAGCTCGAGGTTAAATTTGAGTTAACCCAGTAAGACGCAATTAATAAATTAAAGTGATTCTTATCAAACCATTCATTAACATGCTCAACCCGTTTAATAAACAGATCGTGTCAACTAGTCACATTTATCCACCGATTTGAAGTATAACCCCAAATGTTTAAAATACATGTTTTTCAATCTCTCTAAAGTAATCTTTTGTGACTAGGAAGTACCTTCTCACACAAGAAATGCGCTTACTTGAGCGCCACCTATAATTGGCAAGCACTGTCTATGTCCACCAGATCAGCAACCATTCAGTGGTGCTCACCGCCGTCTATTTTCAGGTACATCAGATTGAAGCTGATAGGCAAGCACGGCTGTTGTCCCTTGGAGCAGCAGCTCAATGGTGTTCGCTCCCAACTATTTTTAGGTGCAGCAGTTTGCTGGTGATCGGCAAGCACTGCCTGTATCCAGATGACCAACAACTGTTCAGTGGTGCTCATCACGGCCGTCTATTTTTAGGGTCAGCAGTTGGATGGTGTTTGGCAAGTAGCGAGGATCATCCAGCTGACCAGTAACCGTTCAGTGGTGCTCACCGCCGTCTATTTTTAGATGCAGCAGTTGGATGGCGATTGGCATCATCCTCTATTTTTAGGTGCCCAAGTGAACGCAGCTGTCTCACACCAGAGCAAACACACACAAAATAGGTCACAAATGGAACTCTTATATCACCTTACAAGAACCCAAAAACAGCCCCTTATCCCTATAATTCTTGAACTCGTCCTGCAGGATCTCCAGAAAACAAAAACTGCAAAGAAAAATAAGATTACCAATACCACCCATGGGAACTCATCAATTTTTTAACGTTTCATTGGTTGCAAAAAGGCACATAGAATTTGATTTTACAGGCCTTCTCGGTGGTTTTTGTGCGTGTTGGGCACAGAGACCTGACAATTCAGATGACTTGTGGAACAACACCATATGCTTAAATTCAGGGATTCAACTATTTGGATAAATGTACAAATATATGATGCTATCTTCAACCCACTTGAGTGGGAAATGACAAGTACTGATCAAACAACAATAGATTAATAAAATAAAATAAATAAAAGCATTTCGAAAGGAGAAAAAAAAATGGAATAAAAGGATATGAAGATTACAAGTGATGAGCTCTAAAACCCTAAAGAATGTAGGTATGGGTAAGGCTCCAAACTAACACATCAAAAATACCAAGAAGAAGAGATAACCTTACTCTCTTCTTTTGGACTAAATTGCTTAACAAGAAAACAGAGAATAAAAAAAAGGTAAGAAAAACAAAAACCTACAATAGATGAAAACCCTAATTAGAAGTTAAAAAGAAGGTACACTATTGGCTATGCATGTCTTGTTTGCTTAAGAGTCTGCTTAAGAAGGGTGATATTGCAGCAAGTAATGCCTTGGGACACTCTTCATGAGGAAGATGGCCACATCCGGATATCGCAACCAGTCTCTGCATACACCAAAACCCGATTAGATCAAATTCAAATGTGATCATAATTCATGTTAGAAGTCTAAATACTAATGGTGAAACACATGATTATGTCCACAACTTGATAGTAAAAAGCCAGAACTTACAGAATTTACAAGTTTGGAAGCCATAGCTTGAGAAGATTTAAGAGAGACAAGAGCATCCTCAGCCCCTGCTATGACCAACACTGGCATGTCTTCAACTGCCTTCAGCAATGATTCTGCATTTTTCGGTGAAAGAAATGTTTCATATGACAGTCTACCTATCTCATGCAGTGCTTCGTCCCATCCTTCTACACATAGAGGGGCCTGATGCAACCAAAAGAAAAGAAAAAAAAACAGATCAAACAAATGATTACCAAAATTTGAGTTCACAATCACAAATTAATGAAATATACGCAACATGTATCCAAAGCTGTGCTGCATACAACCTAATCTCTCTCCCAAAACTTAATATGCTTAAGGAAAAGTCAAAGTTTATGTGAAAAGATGTTTCCATTAAATTATACAAAAATCAAGAATGAGTTTTGATCTGCAGAAATGGGAGGAGGAAACATCAACAGAACTTTCCATTGTGACATTCAGAAATTCTTAGTGCCCAAAGGTTATTTAATCTTAACTTAGACCTTAAAATTTAGGAATTGTCTTAACTTAGACCTTAAAATTGCCAGGACCTTATCTTAACTTAGACCTTAAAATTTCCATTCATGCATTCAGGAAATTGACTTAACTTAGACATCAAAGTTCCTTTCAAATTTTCTGTAAACTTGACTAATTTTACACATATCCAGGGCATACCTTGTAAAGGCTCAAAACGTCCATTGTTAACTTTGTAGCATCATACCAGGCGCGCCTATTCACCACTTGAGTAATTTCTGTTCGCAGTAAAGGGCGAACCAAGTGCTTTTTCCCAAGTGAAGTTCTCAAGAGTATCCTCGCAAAAGCAGGCACCACTTCTCTTGACAAGCTGACATTTAACAGTACTACGCCTTTAATTATAACCTGAATTACATAATAAAAAACACAGTATAACAAAGATGTTATGAAACTTAAAATTAAGAGAAGGAAAAAAGAAAAAGACAAACATCTACGGGTAGTTTGCATGGTGTGAGCATATGCAAAGGAGAAGCAGCATCCCCACTCCAATAAGGGGTAATAACAATATCTTTATCACTTCCTATGCTATCTTCAAGCACGAAATCGAGAAATGTAGCATCTTCATGTTCACATAAAGATTTAGTATGAGTCCTACTTAACTCTACCATTGGCTACATGTACACTTGGTGTGGAAGTCTTTGTGTAACTACATATACCAAGGGCATAGTCTTATGAAACTGCCACTGTTTCACTACTAACTAATATGGGTGCAAATAACTCAATTTCACATGTAAGAAGAGTTAACAAGCATATCAGGGTCCCATTAGTTTAAAGATGTACGCTAAGGAAACTAAGAAGGGATACTCACGTTGAAAGAATTCACTGATGCTTGTACTTTTTGTGCAGCCATCAAAGCTAGAAGACCTCCATCATCGTGACCAACAAGCACCACTGAAGAAAACCCCATCTCAGAGCAGAACGAAAGAAGCAGGTCAACCTGACAGAGTAGGTTCAACAAATTCAGACCATTATAAAATCTAAAAGGAAAACATGAAGAATACATATGGGGAAGGGACCAAATGAAAAATTAAGCAGACATGACAGCATTGCAGGATCATGTTCAATTAAGTGCCCATGTTGGAAACGCAATTTCAGTAGGATCAACCAAGAGGATATACTAGATAAACAGTACTTTGAAAGCATGACAGTACATCTAGAGCAAGGAAGAGCCACTTCAAATACAGAGGGTGGTACACTAGCTCTCAGCTGGTCTGCCTAGTGTTGCAAGATGATATTCAAATGGATCTCTTGACCCAGACCAATCAGTAGACAGTATTAGTCTGCATTTCTACAGCAACACCACCGGTTTACTCTAGATATAAGCAAACTAGATACTACATGCCACTGTATCAAGGTATTGTATGTTCCCCTACCCATTTTTCGTTTCCTTAATAGGTGTTATCTCTTCCCATTTCTTAAGAGGAAGGAATTAGAATCTAACCCCAGAACAGCCTTATTTTGGGAGTTGGGAGCCTCTTCTGGACAGGCACCCAAAACAAGGGGAAAAGTATATGGAAGTTATAGAAGAGTAACTAAAAGGGGTAGCCAATTACCTGAGATTCAAGTGTATAAGGGTTAGGCATTTCTTTATCCTCCCAATCTTCCCGTCGTAGCCTTGAGGTTAGGCCCCAACCGGGGCGATCAAAAGCAGCAACCGTACAACCAACTTGCCGAGCCAGGGTCCCCATCACATGCCTCCATGAGAAGACTCCTCCCCCAAACCCATGGACTAAAACAATACCAAACTGACCACTACCTTCCATGTCTTTATTTAGAGTACCAGAACTTAATTTACTACCCTCATCCTCTTCACCAGCATTGGACAATCTCAAGACAGGAATCTCTTCAGAAAGAACAGGAGATATTGTAGAACCATCCAATAAAGGTACAAAGAGAGATGAGCCATGAAATTGATTGCTGTAGCTCCTATGGAGATGGTTTTGGCCTTTCGATAACAAACTTAAGGGATGCCTATCTAGTTTTGGCCTCCCCATGACTGTTTTTGGGGAGCTGCAGCTGAGACTGGGTTCCAAAAATGCAATGGATGACAAGGAACGAGGTGGTGAACCAGGAAAGCTAAGCTTGTAATGAAGAGTAAGCCCCCGGCACATAATGAATAAGCTATCAATATCTGTAATTACTCTGACTGGGAGTTCCCCTTCATCTCGAGCTGTAGAAAAAGGCTTACGCCTCATTTCACTGTCACTTTTTGGGGTTTTTCCTCCCGAAGGAGTGGGAGATCTTGGGACCTTCTGATAGCCAGAGAAGACAGTTTTGCATGAAAGGACCTGTCATTTTGAAAAACAAAGCAGTTCGTTATAAACTACTAGAAGTTAAAGTAATCATTACTATAGAAGCAAATGCAACAAGCAGTAGAAGAACCCTGTTAGAGAGCATAATGATTCCATACAGTGCTAGAGCACAATCAATAGTTTATAAAAACTTACATTATCCATTTAAATTTCACATTTCAATCAAGGCAAAGTTGAAAACAGTGACATAGAAACACAATTCACAGAACACATAACCCTTATATTACAAATAAGAAAATTTGAATGTGAAATCAAGGGAGTTAAAAAGAAACCTTATGCAAACTTACAGCTTCTGGATCAACTCGGTGAAACATGAGCTTTCTCCTTGCTCTGCAGCTTGTTCTATAAGCAACCACAGTATGTCCAAGGGCAAAGACTACTGATGAGAGAAACAAGACAGGCATTCCCCATGACTTCTTTAAATGGAGCTTCTGCCTTGAGAGGGAAGACGAAGCTTCAGCCTCTATTTGAGAATTTACAGTGAAAAGACAAGCTTTAACTGAAAGAAGAAGAATTGAGATAAAGGAACAGAAAGTCACAGTTCCAAGGTATGGACCGTGTGAGAGAGCAGGGCCATCGCACATGGAATACACACCTGCAATCATGAAACTATACATGAGCACATTTGTAATATACTCAAATTTAATAAAACATTTGAAATAACTATCACAAAAAGGAAGGTTCATTCATATTACTACTCTGTTCATCACGTTCTATTAGTAAGGTCATAGAGACATCATTAAAAGAGAAGATTGGGTTTCAAGCATTCAGACCAACATAAAACACAAAATCCTAAGAACCCTTTTGTATGGTTACTGAGAAAACTTAGCTACAATTTATAAATAAATAAATAAAAGAAAAAGGATTTTATGCATCGCAGAAAAATTGAAAACTCAACTAAACTAAGTCAAATACTTAGATAAAGCTAGATTAAGTTGGATGCTTCATGTTTGTTTCTCACATCCACCAGAAACTGATATTTGGCAACTTGTTAGCAAACATAGGAAGTGTAAGTTCAAAACTTTTGAAATTGCATGGCACTGACTACATGTTCATTTCATTCATATGTAAGTCCACAGAGTACGTAGGGACTGACTACATGCTCATTTCATTCATGTGTAAGTCCACAGAGTACATAGGGACTGTCGGAAGCCGAAAAATCCAACTTGTGCACATGATTTACTGAGAAAACTTATGAAATTATGAATCTTACGGAAACTTATTATTTGGGACCACCAAACCAAAAACCTCCACTTATTTGGCTGATTTTTCTTTTACATTGTCCAAGTTATCAGATCAACAAAAAAACATTAGAAGTTTCATTTGCTTGCCTCTTGTTGTACAAATTTTGCTCAAGTAATCTCTGATTATTAAGGAACAAAAACCATAATAAAATAAGCTTGCTTTAAAAAAAAATTATATATCACTTTTTTCATCAAAGCTCAGAGTAATAACATAAATTATCAAATTTCTCTCTTTCATCAACTATCAAGCTTGAAACAATAGAAAAATGAAGAAAATACTTGGACGAATGCAAATCATTGCCTCAAGAATTTCCCTTCCAAATAGATATTTGAAGAGAGAAAAAAAATATAGCACTCGAATATGAAAAAAAAAAAAAAAAAATTGAGCTTAAAAAAGAGGGAGTAAGATAAGGTACATACAGGTAATGATGAGAGATCTGATAAAGGAAACAAGAGGAATATCGGTGAGCGAGCTCTTGAAGGCGTATCGATGCAAATGCTCTTTGAATCCGTAGCACGTTACGCACGTGAAGCTCGAAATCAACACGCACGGCACCAACATGTCCCCTATCGCCACCAGCACCGGGAGCGACGACACCAGCAGCGACGCCACCATCGCCACCATGAAGAACACAGTCCGTACGCATCTGCGAACCTTCTCCAAGAAGTAACCCCCCTTCGCCATAGCTACAGCAGCCGCAATGATCCAACGGCCCTCGCTTTCTCTCCTCTAATTATATACAACGAACAGATGAAATCAAATGCACTGATCGGACGGTCCTGAAATACTTTTTTTCTTTTTTTGGTTTTTGTGTTTATGTCGAGCTCCTCATAGAGCTCACTGAAACTGAAACCCTAGCCAAATACGATAGCGTCAGATTAAGCGGCGGCGGAGGCGGCGGCGTTGGATTTTCCGCCATTTTCCGGCGAGTCTGAGGGCGAAATGGTAAATTTACAATGGTAGCTGTGGAGCCAACGCGGACGCCATGGACGATATCCAAATTGGTGCACAAAAAAGGCTAGGGTTTTGAAACGAAGAGACAGAGAGATTGAGCGCTTTTGAAATGAATCAAAGGCTCTTCGGTGTGGTGTTTTTTGTTTTTTTTTGTTTTCTGAAGCGTTATACTCTCTCGTCTCTTTCTCTTGTCGCTTCTCTTTCTTTTTCTTCTTCTTCTTCCTCTCTCTCCTCCTCTCTTCTCTCTCTCTCTCTCTCTCTCTGTGTATTTGATTTAAATTCATTCATTAATTTTTTGATTTTTTTTTTTATTATTTATTTTTTTGAATAAGAGGTGGTGGTGGTGGGCCTCTTTGTTTTCATCGTTAATCAAATCGAACTGTATTTTTCAGAATTCTTTTTTCTTCGTTAATTGGAATAATTCAGCCTGTTGCACATCTGGCAGGTCCCTTTTTTCTTGTTGACGAAACTACCCCTGTGTTCGGGATACAATTCTTTCTACTTTTGTGTGACCAAACTACCCTTTTTTTCTTTCTTTCTTTTTTTCTGTAGGTAAAAAACTAGTGAACGAAAAAACAGCTACAAGCACAACAGTAAACCCAACCAAAAGCGAACACAAAAGTAAAAGTAAAATCCTCCATGCCGCTAGCTCAAGCTTGCATCCGCACAAAATAGCTTTTACATGACTCATTTACTTTTCCATATTCTCCTTTTTCCCTGATCAACACTTTCTATATTCTGTAAGTATTTAGTCTTACTGTTTGAGATAAGATTTTATAATTGTGATGAATTTGTAGACCTACTCACCTAATATAGATCATGAATTCCAAAAAGTACAAAGATGTGGGTTCAAGGTCTTCCTTTTCAAGTTTTTTTCCTTTTTCGTAACAACTTCCCTGACAAGTTTCTTTTTTCCCTCTATTTGGATAAGAACTTATTTGAAAAGTTTTTTATTTTTGTTAAGAACTTACTTGAGAAGTTGAGTCTTTTTTGTTTTTTTTAAATACAAGCAATACTCTAAACTATAAGAGGAGATGGGTTTTCTCACACACACACTATCGAGCTGTCATGGCAATTCAAATATAAAATTACTGGTCTGCAAGTTAAGGCACTTTTTCATTGAGCTAGATCCCGCTGGCCAAGTTGAAACTCTAGTATCACTCAAATGAATCATGTGTAATTTCAGAATCTTCTTGTGTAATCATAAAATGCTGCGACTTAAAGGCCCAACTAATTCCTCACAACGCTTAAACACCCAGACAAGAGTGTGGAATGAATATCTTTTTGGATACAAAAATATAAGGAAAATGATAGGTACTAGGTTCAACTTATTATAATTTTATAATCTATAAACCAAAATCTAGCTTCACTTGAAATAGTTTAACATTATATAAAAATAAAATCGAAATTTAAAACACCAAAACCCGACTTAGAAATAAATTTTTTAAATAATTGGAAAAATAAAATTATTAAAATTTTAAAAAATTAAAGGCACACGACTTCATTAATTGAGGGACAAAGTGGGAAATGAGAGGAATTTGGGCGAGTAGTTGGCAACTTGGGTATTTTTTTTTGCTGGGCGCGAAACTCAAGAACGTGACCGTTAGACGGTGGACTGTAGAGCATCGTGGTCGGGACCAGAAATCTAAAAACACCACAACCCTCAAAACACCCCCCCCACTCGCCCCTCCACGTCACGTCACTCTCGCTCCCCCCTCCTACCCTATGGTATTAAAGAAAAGCCCTCCACTAGGCCCCATCTTGTCCCTCTGCCTGCTCCTCCCGCCCGCCACGTGGCATTCCGGGATAGCCTTGTCGAAACGGCACTGTTTCAGTTTAATTTAATTTAGCACCATTCTTCTCCGAAATGAGAAATACTGGTATGTCACAAAGATAGTACTCATCTAATTGCATTTTATTATGTGAAATTTTTATCATGCATGAGAGAATGTGACTGACGAAACAATATTATTCCCGTATCATACAAGTTTTTCCCCTCTGACATCTATCTAATTGCATTTTATTATGTGAAATTTTTATAACACATGATAAAATGTGATTGACGAAACAATATTATTCCCGTGTCATACAAGTTTTTCCCCCTCGGACACCCGAAAACCAAAACGTTTCGAGCTTGTTTTTATCGGATTCTTTATGGGCGCAAGAGTCCAAGGGAAGCGTTAGTATGTTTGCAGAGGGAGGTAACTACTATTACTAAGCACGTCAGCCACCAGCTTTTACTTTTCCTTATTTTTTTGTCGACTTTCAACTTACAAGTTACAACTACATGACATGCTCCCCACATCAACATGAAAGCGATTCTTTGAATATAATTTAAAATAATTGGTTAATAAAATTTAAATTTAATTGGTGGATTATCTAGATAATCTCCTTGTGCTTTCTTTTTCAAATTAACATGGATGGTTAGTTGGAAAAAGAAAAAGCATTCAAGAGATAATATGCTTTCTTTTCAATCAAACCCTCTCTCAAAGATATTGGATGACATGCTGATTCAACATGTGTTTGTCTGGTAGGGGGAAAATCAAATTGTGATAATTATTACACAACATTATTTTCACATCCATAATTATGCTATATTTGAGCTATACTATAAGCTCCTTTTTCTTTTCTTTTTTCAATAAGTCGTTCCTACTTACCAGCCAATCGCACTTTAATTTTGTACTTAAAGAGTTACTTTTGCGTATTTGTCAAACTGTAATTTGTATAAATGAAAATAGCCGAATCGTCATTCTTTTTACAATGTATTAGCTATAAGTAACTTACAATTTGGGATTATTATGAGAAGATTTGAAAGTAGTTTTGTTTAATCCCCTAGTTGAAAAGTAGGTGGGTTAATGTACTTAAAAAACACAGAATTACAAATCTCAATGAAAGAATAATACAATTTGGAAAACTTAAACAAAAGACTGGCATTAGATCTAAAAGCTGACAGGAAAATTTTGAAATGTGGAAACATAAGAAGCAAAAGATTAAACAACTTATCACCCCCAAAAAAAATTAATTAAAAATAATTAATGAAGAGTCAATAGACCATGTCACAATTTCGCAAAGGGATGAATGTACTGATCTTTGACTTTACAACTGCAACGCCGGTCAAGGTGCGATTCCATAAGCTTCGAATGTGCATATATTATATATATAAACTAATTAATAATTAATTTGTTTTTATTTATTTATACATATATTAACAGAGAGGTTGTGTATGAAACAAGAAAATGGAGGTCAAGGCCTCCCCACAAATGGTGAAGAATTATAAATAAATAAGAAAAAGTAATATTTTTAAATTGCGAAATGGCCCGACTGTTCCAAGTTGTAATGCACCAAGACACCCAATCTCTTTTGAAAAGCTATCTATCATTAGCTACTTTAAACACTAACCCCTACAAAAAAATTTAAAATATAAAAAAGAATATTTTTTCAAGTACAAAAATATTTATTCCTCTATTGGGCAATAAGAATGCTTGGCATAACTCTGTTAAGGCTTTGTTGGATAAAATAGAACCTGTAATTTTTTAAGTTTCATGGTCTAAATAGTGTGATCAAGTAGCAAATTTTCTAGCAAAATATGCCTTTATCATGTTTCAATTTTAATATATTTTGGGTAAATACAAGCGATAGTCTAAATTATAAGGCATATGAGAGTTTCTCACATATAGACTATTAAGGTGTCATGGGAGTTCGAACTTAAGACCACTGTTATGCAAGTAAATGTCTTTTTCCACTGAGTAGACCCCGTTGGCCACATTCTGTCATTCTTGAGAATTCACTCTTAAATGAAAAAATAAGAGGTGAAAAGAGTGAGAGTCTAATTTTTATTATGGATGTGAAGAGAGTATTTTATCATTTTGAAGTATGAGAGACAAATAGGGTGAGAATCAAACTCTTATCATGAATGTAAAATATGTACTTTGTCGTTGAAACTATAACGATATATAAAATAAGAGTTAGACGCAAAGAGAGTGGAGAATCAAACTCTTATGATGAATACAAAATATGTACTTTTATAAGAAGCAGCCACACACCTTATCAGTCTCCAAATAAAGTTAATCAAATTGCCCTAGTTTAGTGTTTGTGCTTAATTCTCATCTTATTTGTATGTAGTTTGAATTCTTTGATGAGCGAGAAAGCAATGAATCTTTTTCTCTCACTGGAGCATGGGACAGAAGGGAGGGGACTTGGACATGAAAATGGGACATAAAGGAAGATGCAAAAGCATGAAATTTGAGTCATCCTGTCACTCCAATTAAGGTGCTGATGTGTGGCTGGGCCCCTTCCATGTCACTTTCCAAGCAGAAAATTGGGCAAACAGATTCCTAAAATTTAAGGGATATGAAAGAATCACTTTTTCTCTGTCTCTGAAAAATTGTGTGGAGGGAGGGGAAACTTTCACAATGGAATGCTTTGCCTCCTGTTGTCCTCCTCTCCAACCAACCAGGCTAGCAAAGAAATATCATGTGGACCAGTAGGTCCACTACCAATCATCATATTAAAAAATTAAAAAATAAATAAATAAATAAATAAAATTCAAGTAAAAATGAGTTGTAAAATTCTTGTTTTGGTGAAAATTTTGCATGATCATGTGCAGAAGATCACAGAATCTGATCATACTAATTAAATACAATTCATTAACCCAAAAAAAAAACTGTCAATAATCTATCAGTGCAGGCACCAACCTACCATGATTTGGTGTCAATTGCTTAACCGTTCAATTAATAAGATTTGTTATATGTACTACATTTACTCATCGCGTCTTACAACATATGAAGTCTTACAAATGCATTTCAAAAGTAACTTTTCTCGCACTTACGAATGCATTAAAGAGTATATATATTATAGAAAACTCCTTTTTTTTTCGAGTGCATATGTCACTTACCTGAGCAAGTTGAAGAATTGGGTGGCCTACAAATGGTGTACAATTCCTACGTGATTTGATTTGATGAAATT